AAGAAAGATTTCCCCCAAATTTCCAGAATGTCTCTTTCAGGCAATCTTCATTCTCTTCAGATGTCTCTGACATCCTATTGGCAAAAATTATGTCACAAGTTTGTGTCTACACTACTCACTGGATGAAGGAAAAAAAACACTCTGATTGGTCTACACCACTTAGCACTCACTTGTGGGGGCTGGAATAAGTCTAGAATCACTGATGCACAAGGACACGCTTGGGTACTATTAGAAAAGAAAGGAAGAACTTTAGGCTATTGGGAGTACTTGCTGCAGTTTTGAAAACCAATGTAACTTTCTGCCAAAAGCAACTGTAATCCACGAAGAGCACATTAAAAAAAGATGAGATAGGGGCGCCTGGGTGGCTCAGTGGGTTTAAGCCTCTGCCTTCGGCTCAGGTCATGATCCCAGGGTCCTGGGATCGAGCCCCGCATCGGGCTCTCTGCTCAGCAGGGAGCCTGCTTCCCCCTCTCTCTCCGCCTGCCTCTCTGCCTACTTGTGATCTCTGTCTGTCAATTAGATAAATAAAACCTTTAAAAAAAATGAGATGATAATGTTTGGTCATTGTATAATAACGAAACAGTAGAGTGGCAAGCCTTAGGGATAAAGAAATCCAGAGACTGAGGCACTGCCATGTCCTGTATTACAAATTACACATATTCAAAGGCACATAAATCTTTGCCTTTGAGGTAGACTGCCTAAACACCCTAGAAAGAGAATACTATAGAGTGAAAATATTGGGACTCCTAATTACACATAAATCAGAAGGTATGTAGTGTCTTACATATTTGTTTGAACCAGAGGGACATCTGCAGTATGAGAAAGGACACAAGAAAGGAGAGCGTAGCTTAGAGAATCAAAATACCTGGACAAGTCAAATCAAGAGCAATCTTGGTCCACACGTCCAAGAAAACATTGAGAATGCTTCAGAAACCAGAAAAGCACCTCCCCCAACTCACAATTTTCATTTCTTGTGGACATAGTAGAGGGAATAGGAAACACACATGGACAAACTGCTGACTGGCACGTCAGTAGACCTGGCCAATAATGAATTTCATTTTTGTTCACCGTCTGCCAAGTGGGCATGTTCTTCAGTGATGTTGAGCATAGAAGGTTAAGTCTTGACCATCTAAGCTGTCATGGTGGTCTCTCTCCCCTCACTTGTGGTTGCTTTAGGCAGGAACATGTGACCCAGTTTTGGCCACTGACACATGGGGAAATCTAAGGGAGATCTTCATGAGATACTGGGGCAGTTGATCAACATCTTAGAACAATAGGGGGGATAGCCTAAGAGAGTAAGTTAATGTGTTAAGGATGGCAGAACAGAAAGAAGGAATTTGGTTCATCACGACATTGCTGAACTGGTCAATAAGCCAAAGCCATCCTTGCTTTGGGTTTCTTTGTAGAGGAGACAATAATTAGCCCATTCTTTAAACCAATTTTAGTCAGATTTTTCTAACCAAACAACAGGGGGAAACTAAATAATGGAGATGGAAGCTGAGATGCTAGGAAAGCCTTGATCGAAGACCATGAAGGAGATAAGGTTTCATTTTGCTGAAATCAGATCCCTAGAAAGTAATATGCATGTAGGGCTGGGATGAGTAGGTTTTCTTAATCCCAATGATTTATGCTGCTTTTTAAATATAATGACAAGGGGCACCTGGGTGGCTCAGTGGGTTAAAGCCTCTGCCTTCGGCTCGGGTCATGGTCTCGGGGTCCTGGGATCGAGCCCCGCATCCGGCTCTATGCTCGGCGGGGAGCCTGCTTCCTCCTCCCTCTCCACCTGCCTCTCTGCCTACTTGTGATCTCTCTCTCTCTCTCTGTCAAATAAATAAATAGATTTCTTTAAAAAAAAATAAATATATATAATGACAAAAAAATATATAATGACAGTATCCTGTACAGACTGTGGGTGTGTTCATGAAGGTCGCGGGTGAAACCAGGAATAAGAAAGGATGATCTACTGATCTATCTATAAAATGAAAACAGGATAATGTACAGCATGGCGACCATAGTTACTAACACCGTGTTGTATACCTGAAATTTCCTGTGAGAATAGATGCTCTCACCACACACACACACACACAAATTGGTAAGTATGTAAGGTGATGGATGGATGTGTTAACTAACCTACTTGTGTAATCATTTCATAATGTATATGTATATCAAATCATCAAGTTGTACACCTTAAAATTTATTCAGTGTTATTTGTCAATTATATCTCAGTAAAGCTGAGGGGGAAAATGAGAACAGGCTTTAAGGAATCAAACCCAACTGCAGACTGGGAAAATTAAAAATAATGGTCATCAAAATAACACCCAAGAGATGAGCTAGATAGCAGTTTGGACACGGCTGAAGCACAAATTAGTGAGGTGAACAATTCAACTGTAAAGTTCTCCAAGAATACAGGGAGCTCAGGACAGCAGGGGGAGGGACAAAAAAAAAATATATATATATATATGAGAAAAATTTAATACTCATGGAAGATATATCCAGAAGCTCCAAAATTCTCCTAATTGGAGTTCCAGAAGGAGAGAGTAGAAAAAACGTAAAGATTAAAATGATCATAAGAGTAATAGAAGCAAATATCTAAAGCTGAAGTCAGGTCGCCTGGGTGGCTCAGTTTTTTAAGCCCCTGCCTTCGGCTCAGGTAATGATCTCAGGGTCTTGGTATGGAGCCCTACATAGGATTCCCTACTCAGGGGGAAGCCTGCTTCTCACTCTGCCCTTCCTCCCACTCATGACCGATTTCTCTCTCTCTCTCTCTCTCTAAAATAAATAAATGAAATCTTTAAAAAAATAAAGTGGAAGACAACCATGTCTTGAATGTGGAATGGACTATACAGTACCAAGTAAAATGAATTAACATAGTAATGATAAACCCACCCCTACTTATATCTTGAAGAAATTTCAGAACACTAGGAACAAAAAAATTGTAAAAAATTTTCAGATACAGAGTAAAAAAAAATAAAATAGAATTGGGAAAATCTGAACAAAAGGAGAAAAAAAATCCCATGAAGTAAGAAGACTCAGAGTTCTCACTGACAACAGTGGATGCCAAAATAAAAAAGTCAAAGTCTAGTAACATCAAATTCTTCAAGTATAAAATTCATTATTGCAAAGCAAGCAAAATAGAGACATTTTTAAATTTGTTAAGATTCAGGTGAATAGGAATCTTTTAAAATAATTACATGAGTTTGTCCTTTAGGAAATGACCAAATAAATGAAAGATAAAGCCAAGAATTTAAAAGACAGGCTGTAAGGAACTATAAGCAGGAAGGACACGTTGAAGCATAGGTGTATGTTAAATATGTATTTATTGTGAAATGAATCAGTAATCTGAAATTAATGGAGCTGTCATGGAGAAAAAAATTCAATACCTGCCAAAGTTCTTGCCTTTGGGGGAAGAAAGGTAAATATATTGATTGTATCTTTTATTTTTTAGCTTTTTATATGAAAAATTACAACCACTCATAAAAAATATTATAACAAACTTCAGCATAGCCACAATCTAGAAGTAATAATTATTCACATTTTGCCATATTTCTATAGTATTTTAGAACAATTCCCAGATATCACAACTCTTCACCTTTAAATATGTCAGTATACATCTTTATCTAAAAGTGACTTTTTACATAACCACAATACCATTTTGACAGCTAACAAGATAACAGCAATTTCATAGTATCCTTTTTTTTTTTTTTAAAGATTTTATTTATTTATTTGACAGACAGAGATCACAAGTAGGCAGAGAGGCAGGCAGAGAGAGGAGGAAGCAGGCTCCCTGCGGAGCAGAGAGCCCGATGCGGGGCTTGATCCCAGGTCCCTGGGATCATGACCTGAGCCGAAGGCAGAGGCTTTAACCCACTGAGCCACCCAGGTGCCTGAATATCCAGTCCATATTCAGATTTTTCTAATTGTCCCCAAAATGTTTTTTTTTACAGTTATTTTGCTCAAACCAAACCCACAAATAGCATTTGGTTGATATGTCCCTTAAGTCTTTTTTTAATGCTTGATAGTTCCATAGTTCACTCCAATGCCAAAAGAAAAAAAAAAAGCGGGGGGGGGGGGATTGCACAAAGGAAAAATCCCCAACTTTTTCATGAAACCAGCTTCTGAAAAAAAAACAAGTCAATTGCTAATTAACTTATGGTGAGACCAGATTATACAATGACCCACAACCTGGATTTGTTTGTCTCTTCGTAATATTGTTTTACTGGTCTCTAGGCACTGTATCAATAAGAAGTTTGATGTAAAGGTTTGATTAGGTTCAAGCTTAGTAGCATTGTTAGAAGTAATCTAAGTAGTGCTAGGCACTCCACCTTACATCTCGTCATGAAGCACATTATGTAAAAATGACCATTTTAAGAGATGTTAAGTTTGATCCGTGAGTTCAGGTGGTAACAGTCAACTGCAAATTTCCTCAACTGCAAATTTTCTCAACTGAAAATTTCCTTACCCCTTCCCCTTAGCTGATACCTTGTACTTTGGTAAAGTTATTCTTGGGTTTAAAGGTGGGGGAGTAGTAAATCAGGAACTACCTAGAAATTAAAAAATTAGAACACTGCCAGAAAAATAAACACAAAAAAATTGGAGATGGAATGAATTTATTTTAAAACAACAGAAATCAAGGAATCAGGACAAAAAGACTTGACCAAGAAACAAACCAAAAATTGTTCTTGGAAAAGATCCACAAAATAGAAAAATATTTGGTAAGTCAGGTTGAGAGGAAAAAAGAGAAAGAATGAAAATAATAGGGGATATGTGCAAAATTATAAGTGAAAGATGTGTTCTAGAAAATATGGGTGAAATTCTGAGAAAATAGGAATGACCAGGTTGGCTCCAAAAGAAATTTTTTTTAAAGATTTTATTTATTTATTTGATAGAGATTACAAGTAGAGAGGCAGGCAGAGAGAGAGGAGGAAGCAGGCTCCCCGCTGAGCAGAGAGCCCGATGTGGGGATCCCAGGACCCTGGGATCATGAACTAAGCCGAAGGCAGAGACTTTAACCCACTGAGCCATCCAGGCGCCCCCAAAAGAAATTTTAAAACCCATATTAGTCAATATGAGAAAAATCATCTAGTAAAATCAGACACAAAAGCAACATGAGTCCATTAATGAATGTAATTCACCACATTAACAGATTGAAGGAAGAAAGCATTATGAAAATAATTATAGCCAATTCTGATACACTAATTGTTACATACCTGGGCTATTCTAATTGCTTTAAATATATTAACTAACTTCAATAACTAATTTCAATAAATGCTATAAAAGCATGTGATTAAATTCAATCCCGTTCCTGATTAAAATTGGAAAAAGGAATATATTTTATGGATAAAAAGAAACATCACTATTCTGAGAAAAAAAAGTATTGGAAATCAGTAACGAGCATTACATGTGATGGTGACATTAGAACTTTTCATATCAAATGTCAGAAACTCAATTTTAAACAGAAGTGACTTGTTTTTCCACAAGTAACTTGGAAGTTCTAGGAAATTAATCTAGATGGGCAATCCCTGGGTCCAAGGTATCCCTACCTGGGAAACAAAAGATGATTCAATTTGCTAGGGCATTACAGTTTTGAGACAGCAATGTACCCTGGTGCATAGAAACTAAGATTCAGTTTACAAAAAGTTCAAATTCCATACAAATTTGTCAGATATTGATCTTGTGCCATTAGCCTTTGATTTTTGCCCTACTTCGTAACAACTGATTCAGGATAACTGTGAACCTAGAGCAGTCTGGAGAACCTCCTCTTCCCATCCTATCCCTGCCTTAGTCTTATTTTTTTGTCTCCCCACTTCATCATCACCCTAAGCCCTGGCTCAGAGTTTGCTTCTGGCTTGAATAAGGTGTTGCCTGAAGAATTTCAGGATCTCTCCCCAGGAGTGCTCCTGAGCAGCGGCATGGGCAGTGGGGTCCCCTCCCCAGAGCAGGGGCGAAGAAAGTTTCATGTTTGGGGAAGCGTAACACAGGGGTGCGTAGGGTGGCTCGATGAGATGGCCCGCCCCCGGGTACACCAGCATCCTTCCATTGTTTCTCCCGTGGTTCTGCAGCTGGTGCAGAGCCTGCTCAGCATACTCCCTGCTCTTCAAGCATTCGTCGTTCTCTCCAACAATGAAGAGGATCGAACCCTGGGCCTTTTCGACAGGAAGCACGCTCCGCTGATTCACCTTATCCCGGGGGTCCCCCCTGAAGTGGAGGAGGCGTACAGCCCCGGAGATGTCAAACTGCAAGCGCTCCATAAACATGGGGATGGGTGCTATCACCAGATCTTTGTACCTGAGTGGAAATTCGTAGATGGCAGTGGTCCCATTGATGCAGACGGTGGCTACCACCTGCTTCAGGAAGCAGGCCATGGCCAGCCCGATCTCTGCACCTTTGCTCACGGAGATCACTCCAATTCCTGGCGTTTGGACCTGAGGCACAAAATGAAGCGAACCCATCACAGGCCATACTTGAAGGAGCTGCCTTGCAGGCCAGTAAGCTAGTGTCATGGAAACAGTCAGACATCCAATATATGGGATGGCAGTCCTAGCGCTGGGGTTTACCAGCTTCTGTGACTGAAAACATTGCCCCCTTGCCTTCTCGAAGCCTTACTGTCTTATTATCCCCATAATATTCTCTACCCTGCAGGATTGTTGTACAGATTTAGTGAAACAATAGAAATAAGAACTCTTCATCAGAGGGAGTGTTCCAGAAAAGCAAAAAGAGTTTAAATTCACCAGCAACATTCAACATCACCTGTAGAAGCAGGTAAAGTTAGGAATCCAATTCTTCTCCCCAGCTAGTTAAAGAGGTTCCTGGGTCCTTTTGAGTATTATGTAGGTGTTGTTCATATTTAAATAGCAATTTACAGGGCCGCCTGGGTGGCTCAGTGGGTTAAGCCACTGCCTTCAGCTCAGGTCACGATCTCAGGGTCCTGGGATCGAGTCCAGCATCGGGCTCTCTGTTCAGCAGGAACCTGCTTCCCTCTCTCTCTCTCTCTCTCTCTCTCTGCCTGCCTCTCTGTCTACTTGTGATCTCTCTCTGTCAAATAAATAAAATCTTTAAAAAATAATAATAATAAATAAATAAATAGCAATTTATAGGTACAGAAGTTTTGAGTATCCACTAATCCAAGAGCTAACCATGAAAGCGCTGGAAGGGTAAAAATGCAAGACTTGGATTCTATAAACAGTTGAATCCTGGCGCCCCATCTAATAGGAAGAGTAGTAAGTCCTACGAAGAGGTCCTTAATTCTGTGAAAGGCTAAGGGAGCAGAGGGAAGGAAGAAGTTTGGGAGACAAGTAGGGAAAGGAAGAACATTTTGGACAGAGAGGGGCAAACACATGGCAACCTGATACGTTTACTTTGTTTACAGTTGTATGCCCAGGCCTGTCATCAGTTCACCTAAAAAAAAAAAAAGTTACGTTTTGTTTTGCTTTAATTACAGCTTTCTGAGATCCAGTTTTCAAGTTTCTACTTCAGTAGGTCTGAGTGGACCCAAGAATCTCATCCTAAGAGCATATCCCTTCCAGGAAATCCAGTGCGTTTCTACATTTGGGAAGCACTCCTAAGAGGAACAGACTGGGGAGGGAGGGAGGAGACTCTCATCACAATGGTAGTACCACACAGGGGAGCAGTGAGGAGGGAGCAAACTACAACAGGGAGTGGCAGGGAGGGTGAAGAAGTTGTGACGTAGGGAGAACGATTGGGTAATAGCCCCTGAAGCTCTTTGGGACTGGTTGAGGATATAGGGAAGGGAGAGAGGGGAAAACAGATGGGCACGGATGACAAGGTGGATTTATCAAGAGTTTACTGTGTGCTGGCTCCTCAGCTAAGTGCTTTACACACAAATGGTCTCAGCTTGCCTTTCCAATAAGAGCCCAGAGATCAGGAAGTCTCAGGTCTTGCTTAAGGTTACAATAGTATCAAGGGGCCAAGGTGGGAACTGAATCTCTTCTGATGATACTGAATCTGAATGTTGCCAATTCCCCTTCCTCCTCAGCTAAAGTCACAATTAGTGACATTTGAAATGAAAAAAAAAAAATTTTTTTTTAACTTGAAAACATTTTATCTGGGATTTAATTCCTTCTAAACAATCCTTTAAAGAGAGCCAAATATGCTTGGAAAAATCACACGTGGGCCCCTGGGTGGCTCAGTGGTTAAGCCTCTGCCTTCGGCTCAGGTCATGATCTCACGGTCCTGAGATCGAGCCCTGCATCGGGCTCTCTGCTCAGCGGGGAGCCTGCTTCCCCCCGTCTCTCTGCCTGCCTCTCTGCCTACTTGTGATCTCTCTCTGTCAAATAAATAAATAAAATCTTTGAAAAAAAAAAAGAAAAATCACGTGTATGTTTGGTGGTGATGACGGCAGTTTTACTGAAGGTGAAGATACTGATAATACTCCAATAGGAGACATGGCCTTGTGTCTCCTAGAGAAGAGTCAAAGTCTCCAGGGAGAGAACAGTATGAGTCATGAAATCAGGATAACCAAAGAGTTTGGAGCAAAAGCACTGCCATAAGGGCTGTCTAGTTTTGACACATGACTTAATTTGAGGGTGCCTTCTTATCTGAAAAACGAGGATGTCAACAGGACTCACATCACGAAGTAATTGTGAGTGCTCAATAAGAGTGCTTTAAAAAAAAAAAAGATCTTATTTATTTGACAGAGAGAGACACAGTGAGGGAGGCAACACAGCAGGGGGAGTGGGAAAGGGAGAAGCGGGATGCCCGCTGAGCAGGGAGCCCGATGTGGGGCTCAATCCCAGGACCCTGGGATCATGACCTGAGCCGAAGGCAGACAGTTAACCAACTGAGCCACTCAGGTGCCCCTTAAGTAAGAGTGATTTTTGAGTATTTAGCATAGAGTCAAACAGAGAGCTGTTTAGTAACTGTTAACCTGGTATGATTGTTTTACCATGACAGGCTGAACCATAAAACATAGCTGATATTCGACCATTTTCAAACTGAAAAACCAGAATTACTACATTTCAACTTAACAGAATGTCAACCCAGGCACCTGACCACATGATATTTATTTCTATTATTCTGTTTTTAGTCACCAACACAAACATCAGTACTTTGAGACCTCTTCAAGAGGTCTAGATTATAATTCATCTGATATTTAATTCCTAGAAAAAAAGCTGGATTATGAGACATACTAGTTCAGTCCTTCTCATACCTGAACGTGTATCCGAGTCACCTGGGGATCTTGTTAAAATGCAGATGCTGACCGGGCTGTGTCCTGAGAGTCTGCATTCAAACAGCTCTCTGGTCCTACCAAGGCCTCTGGATCGTGGACCACATTTTGCACGGTACAGCAATACTTGACAGAGTTCTAAAATGATCCTTCCTTTCTAGATTCCTTCCGTGGCTTTGGGCTTTGCACACTTACTTGGGGCTCAGTTCTGCCCCTAGATCTGATACTAATTGATGAGCTAATTCAGCTAATCAGATGGTGTGGCCACATCCATTCTGCTGATAATTCTGCTCTCCTTCTGTGGCCCAGCTCTGAAACTGAACTTCTGTGCATTCTGAGTCTCAGGACTCTTGAGGGGGACTTAACTTCAGCATTGCCCATGTAGAGACAATCACTGAAGTCTGAAACCATGTCAAGCCGGAGAATTCATCATTTGAGATCAGCAGCTGATAAAAATTGAAGAGTTACTGATGAATAAGTCATGTAAGGAGTCTTGGCTTTTTTTTTTTCCATTGAAGATAACCATAACACACCCATCGTTTACTGGCCTCTGTGCCAGTAAGCTGATCAGCAGCCCAGCAATCCCACAAGGTCAACATCATCATCCCCATTTCAAGGGCAAACAGTGCTATGCCCAAATCGAAACAGATTGGTAAAATAGGCAAAACAGACATTTCTGATTTTGGGGGGGGGGCGGCTATAATGTTATAAGCTAGAATGAAAAGTATTCTTAATTACCTTGGGATGAGCTAGTAGCAAGTTAGCAGCTTCCTCAAAATATTCCAAGTCGATCTCCTGCAGTAACTCGGGCAGATCTTCGTAGGCAAAATACGCTAATGCCAACACAGCAAAGCCGTGCGCAGCCAAAAGACTGGCCCGAAATTCAACCAGACCCCCTCGACCCCCAAACAAATCAATGACTCCTGGGAAAGGCCCTTCCCCTGAAAGCAACAAAAAGAAAAGAGAATGGGATCAAAAAGTGTGGAAAGAGGTTCAAGTGGCTGAGAGGGGGAGTACAAGGTGAGAGAATAAATTCCACTTTCACACACACACACACACACACACACACACACACACACAATGGCATGTTGGTTTTAAACTACTGTGGGAAATACTAGTTCTCCAAGAATGTGATGCCATTTGTTAGTGTTTTTATATTCATCAACATTTCCTGTATCACCAAAGATTAGTCTTACCTGGAGGCAGAAAAAGGGCTCCCCGCACCCGACCTTCTCGGACCTGCACCCGCTGTACCCCAGGGGCCGAAAACCAGCGCTGGACCACCTGGCTGGCCATGGGCTCTTCTGTGCTGACATCTTGGAGACTAACTGTGTCATAGAGGTTCAGAGTGACCAAAAAGGGGCTGTTCACATCTTGCTTAAACAGCCTCCTGAAAGCCTTCTGACACTTCAGAGACCAGAAGAGGCCCATCGGGTGGACCCCCACGTAGTCGCCTCCAAATGCAGGAGCCTCCATTAGGTCCAGCTCACCAACCTCATTTGCCTTGTAGAAGGCTTTGGACCGGAACACATTCCCCTTCTCATCCTTCAGAGATGCTGTTAGGGTCACCAGCTGCAACGGGGGCAGGCCAGTCACTCGGATATGCACCGGCTCATCTGCAAGGGCACTTGCTGGGGTGGCTGTCAGCTGGAACATTGGCAAATTGCAACGGGACAGAGTGGTATTCCCTGCCCTGGAGGGTGAGAGGAGACTTGGAGTTGGAGACTGAAATCCCAGGAGAAAGATTGAGATAAGGCTTGCGTTAGGTCTGGCCAAGCTCTGCTTCTAGAGACCTCATGCAAAATATACAAAACGTTCAGAGGAAGGAAACGAAGACGTGCCAGAAAACTCATTATTCTCATTTTACATATGAGGAAACAGGTTGAGTGACATGCTCAAAGCCTCATGAATAATTAGCAGTAGAACTGGAAATTCAAGCTAAGGCTGATACCGCAGCCTCCTGTCTTCTCCGTTGTAACACTATAGAAAACCTTCATTTCATGGTTTGGGGTAAGTTGAGCTTTAATTCTTCAGTTGAGATAATACCCATTTGACCTACTTCACGGGGTGTATTTTAGGATCTGAGGAGGTAATGCATGGAAAAGCCCTTACAGGAAGGATCAGTATTGCTTTTTAAACCCCACACCTACCTGGGGTTGAGTTACAGGAACAAGAAATATACTATGGTGTTGTTTGTCTCTAATCCCTCCCTGTCATTATAAGATCAACTTCCAGCTCTTTTCTTCTGTATTCCCATTATTTATTCCTTTTAAGGGAAAATAGAACTCTATGATGTTTTGGGGAGGAGGGGTTGAAGATTTCGTTTATTTATTTGACAAAGAGAAACAGCGAGGGTGAGAACACAATCAGGGGGAGTGGGAGAGGGAGAAGCAGGCTTCCAGCCGAGCAGGGAGCCTGATGCAGGGCTTGATCCCAGGACCCTGGGATTATGAGCCAAGCTGAAGGCAGACGCTTAATGACTGAGCCACCCAGGTGCCCCAAAACTCCATGATCTTGTCTCTGCTTTTACGCCTTTCTGATGGACTGATAAATGTCAAAATGTCAGTGGTAGAGACTGTAATAGACATTGGGCCAGCTATTTCGTGCTCTGCTCCATTAATGAGCAAAATTTGGGCTATTTCCTCCTTCCTTACATCCTGTCTCCTTTCCTTTCTTCTCTCTCTCCTCCCTTTCCTCCTTTCTTCTGTACCTCATGCTCACCCCCCCCCCCAAAAAGAACCTATTTATAGATAACAGATGCAGAGTAAAATAGAACTGGGAAAACATGAACCAAAATCAGGCATTGGTCAAAGAAAACCTAGAGCATGAAAAGTAAAGCTTTTCATGTGCTGTTGTAAGGACCTATTTTATAATTCTATTTTAGCCAGAGGCTTCCATTGAAGTTAAACAATAACTTTGTTGTTTAACCCTTAAACTGTCCCTGCTCCCCTTCCCCCAAGGGACTTAAAAACAAGTCCTGGAAACCAGCTCCAGGTGTGGAGGCCAAGAAAAGACTGTACCCACCTCGAGTCTAGCCCTGACATAAGTACAGCCATCTTGGCAAAGCAAAAGCCGGCACCTTGCACTGTAAGAGTGGGTTAGCATAAGAATGGCCATCCTGAAGGCCGGGAAGCCATTTTACTGAGCATCCCTAACCAGCCCACACTGCGCACATGACTTGAGATAAGAGAAAGTAGCTAAAACCTGAGAAACAACTTAATCATCTACCACCAGGGCGGTTAGGCGATGGTGCCACAGGGACCAGATGTTAAAGAAAACAAAGAGTTAACTTGCAGAGATCACAATCAAGCAAGACAGGAGTCTCCCTTGGTTTGCAAATGTCCTGGTGATTTACAACAAAAAGGGCTATCTCTTCAATGGCCCAATTTCCAGAGACAGGTGGCTCAGTTCCTCAAGGCCTAAGGTCGCCCTCCCCACCATAAAACTGAGGGAGGCTGAGGCAGAAGGACATAAATAAAGTTAAATTTCTTCTAAACCGGGGCGCCTGGGTGGCTCAGTGGGTTAAGCCGCTGCCTTCGGCTCAGGTCATGATCCCAGGTCCTGGGTTCAAGCCCCACATCGGGCTTTCGGCTCAGCAGGGAGCCTGCTTCCTCCTCTCTCTCTGCCTGCCTCTCTGCCTACTTGTGATTTCTCTCTGTCAAATAAATAAATAAAATCTTTAAAAAAAAAAAAAATTTCTTCTAAACCTAAATCTCACTTAACCGCCAGGATGGCTCCAGGGTGATGCCGGGGTGGCAAAAGGTTAAACAAAGTTAGACTGTCAAAGTGGGGTACAAGATATGTATGTAGCTATGGGAAAGTGCCTTGAAAATGCTATATAAACCCTTGGCTTTGAGTGCTTGGGGTCCTTGTTGAAACCCACTGCGCTGGGCGGATACTTGGACCCCAGCTAGCTGGAGATAAACCTCGCTGTGTGACTTGCATTATCGAGAGTGTTCTCTGTCTAATTGAGGGGTGGTCGACTCCGTACCCTAACATTTGGAGGTTCCACCGAGATCTTAACACCATCCTCAGGGAGACAGACGACCCCTGATACCAAGGTTTACATAGAAGCCGCGGCAGGAGGTTTGGCCACCTCCAAGATGGGAGGACTGAAACAGGTCCTCGACCAGAGAGGCTGAAACAGGCCTCCGAAGAGGAGTCGTGGGAGACATCCCCGACTAAGAGGTGCCCCGACGACGTCCGCAGTGGACGCCGTTTGGAGGGTGAGGTAAGGATCCTGAGTGTTGTGTGAGTGGGACGGCGCCTGTGGATGTGGTGTGGCAGACCGGCCGGTGGGTGTTAGCAAACTCGGTTTGGATTTGTGTGTTTGTTGACTTTGTGTCCCTTGTCTTTTCCTGGCTTCTTTTTGGTAACAATGCTATAGCCGACGGGCCCTGCCTGGAGGCTCGGCTGCTGTTGCGGTCGGGGCTTAGCTTCCTTCCAGTTTTGTCTTCGTGGCCGCGCCGGATCGTTTTTCCTTGTGAGTGTGTTCTAGTTAATTGTTATAAGTGTATTTGTCTTGTTGTGGACTGAGGACGTGATGGGACAGACGCAGACGACCCCTCTGTCTCTGATGATTGACCACTTCTTGGACGTTAGGGAAAGGGCCCATAACCTGAGCACTGACGTACAAAAGGGAAAGTTTTGGACTTTCTGCATGTCTGAATGGCCATCCTTTAATGTTGGATGGCCCCGGGAGGGCTGCTGGGTTTGCGGTTGTCTTTGTCCTGTCTCTTTGTAATCTGTTGTGGTGTTTGTTATGTTTGGAGGAATGGGGCAAGTAGAGAGTAAGGAGACTCTGACTTCCATCTCTCTATTCCTCCTAAATAGACGTGGGGCTTCTCCCTCACTCATTTCGTGTGTTTAAGGCTATAACTGGAGCCAACTGGGGTTGGTCTAACTCGAGACAGAGACGTAAGGAATATTCCCAAGCAGCTGCCGAAACAACTTTGTTTCGGGGACATTCCTTGCCCTCTCTGGCCCGACGGAGACTGCCTAGCCCCCCCCCCCCCTTGCTGGCGGGAAAGCATGGTGTCTGCTCCTCTGTTGGAGTTGATGAGCTCTAAAACCGGGAATCCTTTCTCTGCCTCCTAGCAGCACTTTGTTCTTCTGTCTCCCCCTTTTGTTTCCGCACCAACATGTGTGCGGCCTGCATGACTGGCCTCTAGACCATCCTTGGTGCTTCCTGCACCACGGCTCCTTCTCTCTTCACTGTCAAGGAGCAAGAAGAGCAGCCCCTGGACCTAACACCCCCCCACTCCAGATCCTCCCACCCGTGTCTCAGGTAAACATTCAAAGTGGAGTGGGCCCAGGTAGAACATAAATCAGTATTTGAACTAAGTTAAGTTTGTCGGGTTAATTAGGATGAACATGTCTTTTGAGTTATCAGTAGTAAATGTGAAATTTGAAAGTTTACTGAAGGTCAAATAAGTTCATGTTATTTGTTAAAATCTGTGTTAAAATCTGTTGAAATCTGTTGGCAAAGAGATGACTAAACTGATGGTTAATTGTCTGTCTCAAAGTTTTAATGGGTGATTCTTAAAGTAGCTTTCAAAGTCTTTGGTAACCTGAAACTTTAAAGTTTTGCTTGGATGACAAATGGAATTAAATTATGGACATCTAGGTCTTAACCAAATGGGATAAAATGCTAGAGCGCTGGTTGCTGGAACTAGGTTTGTGCTTTTGAAATCTGTTGGTAAACATGTTTTGTGCTTAACTGATTGACAAATTTGCCATCTAAAGAATTCTGTTTTAACTGTTTACAATTGGTTAATACTTAGCCATCACTAGAGGTTAAGGTATTTCTAAGAGTACAAAATTCTGTTAAGTGTAACTAAGACTGATGGAAATGAGAAAAGCAACTCTGTATGTAAAAAGAGAGAAAAACAGCCTCGAGGCCACTGTCAGAGCCAGACCCATTCCTAAAGAATGGAAGGGGAGATTGATCGCCTCCCATTAGCCAGGGATATCCAAAGGGGAGAGTGTCCAACCTGTTTGAATCTGAAGGGTGCCTGACTGTGTGAATGTGTCTGTATGGCTCCACCGCTTCGGCTACGGAGTCTGAGTGGCTGCACACTGAGTCTCGCGGGGCGTCATATGGCATAACGGTCATCTACTCCATGGAGTAGCCTGGTCCGGGCTACTGACTGATTGCTTGTTACAATATTCTTCTTATACTGCCTCTATTTTATGCCTTTCTTACTCTGTCCACACTTTTCAATGCTTACAAATAATAGCCAAGTGTCGTTCCGCAGCAGAGTTGTGCTGTGTAAGAATTCATTTTTCGGAATGCAGATTTCCCTCTCATTTTCCCTTATACCAGGAGGGTTTGTTTACTCCCTTAACTCATTTCTCAAAGTGTAAAGGGAGATTGGGGTAGGTAATTCAGGAAGGAGGGGCAGACATGATCAGCCTACCACCCTCCTCCCCATGCAATAGAATGCTCACTAACCATCAAGAACCCCCTCTGGGGGCGCCTGAGTGGCTCAGTGGGTTAAAGCCCCTGCCTTCGGCTCAGGTCATGACCTCAGGGTCCTGGGATGGAGCCCCACCTCGGGCTCTCTGCTCAGCGGGGAGCCTGCTTCCTCCTGTCTCTCTCTCTCTCTCTGCTTACTTGTCAAATAAATAAATAAAATAATTTAAAAAAAAAAAAAAAGAACCCCTTCTGTCTTGCACCCAAAACTGAAAATGAACATGACCCTTTTGCACATGGCCCTCATGGGATGAAAAACTTGTAAGGAAATCACTAATGAGACCACTCAATCACTATCCGTCATGACGTGTATCATAACCACATAACCACATACCATAACCATAACACTTGAAGTTCAAAAACAATTTCTTTTTTTCTCAGTTAAGAATCCTAGTGGAGGGGCACCTGGGTGGCTCAGTGGGTTAAAGCCTCTGCCTTCAGCTCAGGTCATGGTCCCAGAGTCCTGGGATGGAGCCCCACATCGGACTCTGCTTGGCAGGGAGCCTGCTTCCTTCTCTCTCCTCTCTCTCTGCCTGCCTCTCTGCCTACTTGTGATCTCTGTCAAATAAATAAATAAAATCTTTTAAAAAAAACATATCCGATGGTCCAATAGGCTGATTTTTGAAGATAAATTGAAAGTGGAAGAAGAGGACTGAAGGACTGGAGACATGCCTCATGAGATCAGAAATAGAGAATTACCGTCTTCTGAGTCAATTCACAAGAGATGACTCGCTGTCAAGTCTGTCTAGACAATGAAGCTACTAACCGATGGAATTTATACTAGCTGGTGATATAAGTTGTCCTGTTTCATGAGCATAATCTTTAACAAATAATTTTAAAATGCAGCAACAGCTCCAGGAAAATTGAAAAGGCAATCATACACCACAATCATCCGACAAGGAAAGGGCCTGGTTCTTTTAAAGGACTACTGGAATTCTATCCTCTCCTTGGTCCCATTTTTTTTCTCTAACAGAAAAAAATGTACTGGGCACTTACTAAAAGCTAGCCACTGGGTAATATTAATTCCGATAATAAAGCCTTTCCACTTTTCAAGGTCCTTTCATGGTCATTATAAGTCAGGAGATTGAGCTCACATGACTTAGCCAAGTTTGTCTGTGTTAACGGTACAAAAAGAATTTTAACCCATGTCATCTGACCCTTCATTTAAATCTTATTTATGGGGCGCCTGGGTGGCTCAGTGGCCAGGGAGCCTGTTTCCTCCTCTCTCTCTGCCTGCCTCTCTGACTACTTGTGATCTCTGCCTGTCAAATAAATAAATAAAATCTTTAGAAATAAAAAATCTTATTTATTTTCCCTAAATGACAGTAAGAATGTGAACATGCATTTTTTTTTTCCTGGCCTCTCCCACCCTTGTTTCTTTTTCACTACGTTCTTGTCTTTAGTTTCTTCTTTTCCTTTCCCTGACTCTGAAGCTTTTAATGACAGATACAGCCTGATGCATAGTATAGCAGGACTGATAATGGAATAGTAGGGTTGAATTTAATGGTCCACAAACCCACATGTGCACAAAATGGAATGTTTTCCTATTATCCTAGCTTCAGTGTAATTTCTCTTTTCAGTCCTTGTTCCTCCAGGTGGCAGAGATACACACACAGAATTCAGAGCACTCTGCTTTTCCTTGCAGTCCAAGTAAGCCCAGTGACTTGTACAGTGCTAAAAGACTTGGCCAGAACACCATGCTCCTATATTTTTATGCATTCTTCCAAACCCATTTTGCAATGTATGCCAGGGGTCCAAATTCAGATACCTGGATGGGTGGGTAATATAAGTTTGCAGGGAAAGGTCAGAAAGAATGCAATATAAGACGGTAATGAAATAAAGATCTGCCCAGTCTAAAGGCATTCAGATGTATTCTCCTAAAAACTAAACAACACAAAATAAAACAGACACACAACAGAAACCCCAAGGTGGATACCAAACAAACCGCACCTATTTGTGACTTTGGGAATTTACATCCTCCTATTAGGGTTTTTGTAACTCAAAAAAATACTTTCCTGGCCTTTGTTTTTGTGTCATTCTTTCCTGAAGCTCGGAGGGCCAACTGACCTCTCTTGGGTAGAAGGACAAGGTGAAATGGAAATACCAAAATATGGTGGTGGGAAGTGGGAAGTAAGGACTCGTACAATATTATTTCCACTGGTGTATGGCAAGTTAGCCCTGCCCCCAATATCCAAAGCCCTCCAACTGTCTCCTTATTACCTCTTAACCACGCTTAATGTTCGTGACTTTTTTCTGCTTTCCCTGTATTCTAATTCTGTTGTCTTATTCTCAACTAGATCCCAACTAATCCATATACTGTGATAGGAATTAATACCTTTGTTAATAAGGCTTTTGGCTCTCAAAACCAGTCTGTCACAGATTTTTCTAGAATAAGTCATAAGAAACCTTAAAGCTTATCCTATCCAATGTTGTATTGTCAACATCGATAAAGCGCCTACTGTATACAGGAACGACTTTCTATCCTCTGGGCTCTCCACAATGTCACTCAGAGCACATAATATGTTACTGAAATGTGCACTAGAGCCATTTATGCTGTGTTTTTGCTTTCCTGTGAATCTGTAAATTTCTTGAGGGCAGGATCCAGTCTGATGTGTCTTGGTCACATTCACTGCACAGGGAGCCCTTCATTTCCTGGTCGTCAACTGATTTTTCAAAATGATTATTGATTGTGCTCTCCACTTCATTCCCTAAGCTCTCATCCATTTACCTAAGTCTGCCTTCCTGTTTACAGTCTTTTTCACTTCCCAGTCTAATCTCTGCAATCTAGTCAGATCTCAACACAAAAATAATCGAATCACTCTCCTGCTTTAAACTTCGATGGCCGCAGAGTGAAGGGTGAAGTCTAAATCCTCTGGCCTAGCATTAAGACCCTTTGCAGGGGAATGGTTCCACCACAGCACCCTGGAGGGTTCCCCGTGCCCACAGGCAGAACTTGGACCACCAGGACCTAAATCAGGATGGGATGCCTTGTGATCGCGGGGACACGGAAAGTTAGGCAATCTTCACAGGAGGCTCCACAAGAGTGTTTTCTCACCTGTCCCTCTTATCCTTTTTTTTAATTGAAATATAATTGACATATGAGATTAGTTTCAGGTGTACAACATTCGGCAACTAATATGCATTACCAAACAATCAGTGAAAGGTTTAGTTATCATGTGTCATCATACAAGGTTCTTACACTGTTATTGGCTCTATATTCCCTATGCTGTACTCCACACCCCGATGACTTATTTACTTTATAAGTGGAAGTTTGTATCTCTTAATTGTCTCTCCCTATCTTACGGGAGGCTGCCATGAGACAGTTTTCCCATCCACTTCCCTGGTTCCAGAGAGGTGTACGACTTTGGGGCACGGCTGCAGGCTCTGTGACAGTTTTGTTGCAGTCTGGAGCTGGCTCCCCAGCAACTGTGTTGAGGTCATGGGGCCCCGTTTGTTTCAGTGCCATTGTTTCAGGGTGTAAGACAAGGACTCAGACAGCTGGAGCCTGTGGCTTCTCTGGCCTTCACTATCTATGTAAATGATAAACTGTCTGAATCTAACAGGGGTTCATTATTTCTTTACCAGCTGAATCTGTCAGTCTTGGACTCCCCTTTGTGTTTGGTGCCCTTTATAATAATCGGATTCAAGCAAAACCTTTTCCAACTAACCCCAGCCTACTTACTAGTCCAACCAACCATCTCATAACACGTAGCATATGATGTTATAAAAATCTGCTTCTTTATCTCCCTCCCTTTTTGCTCTAGCAATGTAGTAGCCTCTAGCCACCTACAGCTAATGAAATTTCAGTTTATTAAAAACAAATAAAATTTTAATTCCTTGGTCACAATAACCACATTTTAATTGTTCAATAGCCACACATGAGTAGTGGCTACTACACTGGGCAATTCTGATAGAGAATATTTCCATCATCCTAGAATATTCTATTGAACAGCACTCGCCTGGATTGTTAATTATTCCTTGGGGGCAATAATTACACCTTGCTCGACACTCTATTCCTCAGTTTCTAGAATAGCATCAGGCAAGTAGTGATGCTCAGTAAGTATTAGAGTAATTAAATGAAAGAATAAATGATAAGTGGAAAGGTTAAAAAAAAAAAAAAGAATAGCATTTCTCAGAGAGTAGAAAGAACAGAGGCCCAGCTGAATTCTCAGAGGCTACTTCTGAAGATGTGAGACTCTTCCAAATCCGATGGAATAAAGTCTCCAGGCTTCTTCCCATCTCTGCAGCAGAAGCCTAGACACTGTACCTCACTGAATGTCCATGAAACTGAGGCCACAAAGCAGCCAGAGGGCGAGAACCAAGCTGCCCCACACAGGATTAGCCTTCCAGTGGTTGCAGAGAGAGCCCTCGGCAATATAGGAGCCTCTTGGGCTGAAAGCCGAAAGCCCTGCTGTGGAGCAGACTCCGGACTCCCAGGCAGAAGGGTATCAAGGTTACATATGCCACTGGGCGACCTTGACTCTTCTGGAGAAAACACAGCCAGGAGCTGCTAAGACTCTAGCGCCCTGAGTGGCAGGAAACAAAGAATAAAAGAAAGCAAAAAGTCACCCGTAGAAGTTAAACTTCCTAATCAAGAAACAAAAGTCCATTCCCTTTAGGGGCTTTTCTTCCCTCATCACAGGTATTTCCTCCCCCTCCTCCCAAGCCATAAGTCCCAGAGAAAAATTTCTTGAGTCAAGAAACAATCTCTCCGTAAGTTCACATGAGTAGGAGGACCCTGACTGTGCAGCCACAGTCAGTCTCTAAACGACCTCTTGTTAAGTGGCTGCTTCTAACATAGATCTGTGTGGCCAAGCAGTCGGCCACCGGCCCCTACCCCACCCCACCCCCGGGTGCAGAAGGACATTGCAGTCCCCCGGAGAGCTGTGCTCGCCATGGAGATGAGGAAGGCACACAGCTGAATGAAAGCCGCCTTCCTGGGTGCCCAGCCAAAACACTGAGCAGTTCCCGACCAGGCCAGGCCGTGACAGCCCGACTCCCCCACACTCACCCTGAATTCAGCTGCTGGGAGCAGTCTGGAGTAGGACGGCTTGCTGGGCCCACTAGAGACACTGGAAGCTTCCCGAGCCTATTCTTCCAACTGAGCTAGCCAGGCCTGAGCTAGCCTACTCTCCCTCACAAAACTGTCAGCGTCTCCTTCCTCTTACGTATGTCCCCAGTCATGGGACTGTGGACCCTGCTGTGACGGTGTCAGAGCAGACTCTCAGGCTGATTGCTGTTTACCTCTCAGTCCAAGTGTTTCACAACGGAATCTCAGGTTTCATCACAGGGCTCTGTTTCTAAGCACTTCCCTGACTCCTCCTCCCCACCGCTGGCTCTGGTCTCCTTGGGGATTTCCTCCTCTGAGTCCGTGGTCTCTTAGGCAACTAACTGCCTTTTTGACAGTGTCTAACACGGTAAGTCCCAAACGTCTGACGTAGTAAGTCCGCACCAGGAGATTCTAACCGGAATAAGGTCCTGGGGTCTGTATGTTCAACAGGGGATTGCTAAGGCATAGCTGGGTTTTGAACTGCTCTTCCAAGGGATAGCGGAAGCCCTCCTCATGCAAAAACACCTCCCCGAGACCAGAACCTCTGAAACCTGCCACACTGTTAATGTCCTCAGTCCAAGTCCATGGTCAAAATGCAGGAATGATCAGGTTTACAGATTGTTGACTGCGCCTCCAGGTGGTGACTTGCTTGGGGGAGGGCACTGTGTCTTTTCATTTATGTACCTTTTGTAGCCAGTGAGATGTAGCTGGGAGACCACCGGTCCCTAGAATCAGAGAGACCTAGATTGGAACCTGGACTGTTTAACTGGCCATGTGATCTGACCTCAGGGAGATTGCTTTACTTCCCTTGGGCTTTGATTTCTCCTTCTTCTTCTTCTTCTTCTTCTTCTTCTTCTTTTTAAGATTTTACTTATTTATTTGGCAGAGAGAGACACAGCAAGAAAGGGAACACAAGCAGGGGACGTGGAAGAGGAAGAAGCAAGCCTCCCTTGGAGCAGGAAGTCTGATGCAGGGCTTGATCCCAGAACCCCGGGATCATGACCTGAGCTGAAGGCAGATGCCTAACAACTGAGCCACCCAGATGCCCCTGTGCTTCGACTTCTTAAATAAGAGTAATATATAAATGTACTGAAAGTGAAATACTAGCCTGGGGGTGGGGGAAGGGCTGATCTTGGAAGTCACGGGCAGATTGGAAGTACTGAGGAAAGAGAATGGTGTCTCAGCACACAGCTCTCATAGCAGGTGAGAGGTACCTTGGCAGGATAGCAAGACTCCCAGCTGAGGGACTAATTCTCAAGATCAGGTCCCAGGGTGGGATCAGTGTCATTTTTACGAAGATTCTAAGAGCACTGCAGGAAAGGGTGGGCAAGACAGGATGCTATGGCACCCAGGTAATAAAGTGGGGGCAGGTCAGGCTGGCAAAGAGCCAGATCTTTTCCACTCCACTTGCCCAGAACAGAAAACATCAGGGAACCTAGCTGTCCATGGACCCCTAAAGGCTGTAGCATATGAAGAGTGGGGACACCGGGCAGTGAAGTGATGACTGCGTACAGAAGAGACTTTGGGAGTTATCAATAGCAGGCATGAACCATGCAGAAAGGACTGAGGTCCTCTTGGGCAGAAGGATATCTACCTGTAATCTGCCTTCAGAACCATGACTGCGACATCAATTCTTCTGGCCTTCTGGCCTGTCCTGAAGGTTTGAGCCCCTGCGATCACATAAGCCAATTCCTTAAAGTCAATCAATCTCTCTCCCTCTCTCTCCATGCACACCTTCTTAAGGTATATTTACTGGGCCTGAGAATGTAACCGACATAAGACAGATTAAGAGGTGAGAAGTACATAAAAGTTTTTAATGTAAGTTTCATGTGGCACAGGAGCCCTCATGAGGAATGAGACCCAAAGAAAAGCAAATACTTGGTTTTATATTAGCTTGAACAAAGAGAGAGACCATTGTGGAAAAGTAACTATGTGGGCAGTCGAAAGGAGGATAATCATTCGAACAAGGTCTATTTGTATAGAATTCTCTCAATCTCAACTTCTGTCTTTGGTGGTAAGAATTTTACTTTCCTTCTGGTGGAGGGAGGACACCTTCCATCTGGGAGTTGTATCTCCTGCTTTCAGGAGGGAAAAAGGAAGGGTCGGAGGGCCCCTTCTTGTATCTGCCTTTTTAATTGCTTATTTTTGTTCAAGAGGCATATTTTGGGGTGATGTATTCTGGTTGCCTTCAAAGGAGAGAGAAGAAAAGCATGAAAATTAGTGCCTATGGAATGAAGACTATTCTAATGGGGGTAAAGTCACGAGTGCACTTGGGGTTCACTGGGCTTCCACACGGCTGCAACACAATCCGTGGAAAACTGACTCCTTCTCAACGGTAGACCCAGCTGTGTCCCTGATTATCTTTAGAAGCTAAAAAATTTCTCCCTAGTAAGAGTAAATATAGAACTTGTCGTGTCCCTCCCTAGCTCTCCTAAGCCAAAAACAACCAAAACAATGCGTTAATGTATAGACCCAACTTTATTTCAAATTTCCAGATACTAGAGATTAACAGGCCATTGGGGAAAATCTCAACACAGTGTAACAGAGAAAATTTAGGTCTGAGTCCTGGGTTCTGATTCTAGCCCTGCTATTAATTCATCGTGTGAGTTTCTCTGCACCTCTACTACCCAGTATGAGAAGGCTGACATAGATCAGTACCCCCCAAAAAAGCCTGTCATTAAGTAGCACTTTTATGATTTAGCTATATCTGTGTCCTCTGGCCTATTTCTTGTAAGGCAAAGATGATCTTTACAAATGCCTCTCTGACAGCAGTGATGTTCTTAGTAATTGCTTTATTCTTCCTCAGAAGCTTTATTCCATTAAGTCTGGGTCCTGGGGCTTGTCTTTCAGAAGAGAAGTTCTGCCTCGAGGGAAGGTCTGGGCCTTGACCAAGGTGGGAATGGATTGTGAGAAGCTAGGAAAAAAAAAAAAAAAAGAAGAAGAAAGAAGAAGAAGAAGAAAAAGAAAAGAAAGAAACTGGAATCTATAGTAGAAGGTTTTGTCCTGCTTCCGGTTTAGAGTTCTGGAAAGCAGAGTGAAACAGGACATCATGTGCGTAGGCAAACGGAGATAGCGCATGCAAGTCTCCTTTTGCACTCCTGGCATGTGCAAGAGTTTAGCAAGCTCCCAGATTCTCCTGGTGATGGGCATGGAAGGCGGCTGAGAGCTGAAGGTCAGCAAGTCTGCCCTGATTGCTACGGCCACGTGCGAGCCGACCTTTTAGCAGAGGAGATGCGGTATATGCATCTGTCAGGGGCCTGACAGAAGACACAGCTCACATTTAGAGAATGCGCAAGGACAGTAAAAGCCAAGTGGACCAAATGCAGGTGAGAGTGGGTTTGCCAGCTGGCCTGGACCATGCTATGAGTTAACCAGGTGCAGATACTTTATGGGTGCACACAAGAGGTCAACCCTGAAAAGCAGACCAGTTACATTTCCAAGAGGTCAGAGAAGCTGGCCAAGAATGGTTTTTTGAGGGACGCCTAAGTGGCTCAGTTGGTTAAGCAGCTGCCTTCGGCTCAGGTCATGATCCCAGCACCCGGGGATCGAGTTCCCCATCGGGCTCCTTGCTTGGCGGGGAGCCTGCTCTCCCCCTGCCTCTGCTGCCGCTCTGCCTTCCTGTGCTTGCTCTCTCTCTCTCTCTGGCACATAAATAAATAAATAAAAAGAATGGTTTTTTGATCTGCCTGCCTGCCAATATTTGTAGTAGTGATACAGAACAGAATATATGAAAAAAAATTTTTAAGACCTTCTTAGTTCTGAAAATCCACAAAATGTAAATCAAGGGATATAAAACACAAACATCGTATCTCATAAACATCTCATTCTTCCTGAAGTCTGGAAGGGGAAACAAAAATAATTATACCCATTAAACCCACTATGTTAGCTATTATATAGCATATGGCATATATAACTAATGATATAGCATCTAATCTATCTAGTTATTATGTAGCATATACAGTAGGCGGTATTAGCCATTGCAATTACATGATTATTAGAGTCAAAGAAGTGACGTAGTCTGATTGACTGGGTGTGGGAAATGTAAAAACTTCTCTGAGTGAGAAAGGTGGGAGGCTAATAGCCTCGCTCATCCTGAATGGAATGATTGCACTCTAAAACAGAGGAAGTATCAGAAAGCAGATGAAAGAAAAAGAGTTTAGGCAGATACCGTGAAGTGTTTGTGTATTACTTCTGTCCCTCTAACTCCTTGTTGGCTCCCCCAACACACCTACAAAATCATTCAAAGTACCTTTTTACTGGTTCATCTTCACTTGATTATCTACCTTCCACTTCTACCCATTGCAATTCAGTAGCTCAGGAATATGTGGATTATGACTTGCCCGTTAGAGGAAATACGTCAAATTTGACCTTGGACAAAGTAATTTGGATCATTCTACACCCAAGGTCATCAGACTATGCCCTGTGAGCTAAATCTAGCCAACAGCCTGTTTTTCTACTGCCCACAAGCTAAGCGTGGCTTTTACATTGGCCAATGCTTAGAAAAAAAAAGAAAAAGAAAATTACTATTCTGTTACATGTAAAAATTATATGAAATGCAAATGTCAGTTTCCATAAATAAAGTTTAAATGGAACACAGCCATGAACATTCATTATGGCCAGACTATGCTGCTTTTGTGTTTGAATGGCAGAACTCAACAACAGTGACAGTGGGGAATAGGGAGGCTCTAACAGGTGGCCTGCCCCAGGGTAAGATAGCAGGGTCCAGTTGTTCTTCCTGTATCTGCTCAGCTGTTGGGTGGCTTGCTCAGCATACACTTTGCTGTTGAGATTCTTATCATCTTCTCCCACAATGAAAAGGAAATGTCCCTGGGCCTTTTCAATGGGGAGAAGGGAAGTCTCACTGGCTTCACATCTAGCTTCCTCAAAGCCGTGCTGGAACTCTACTAACCCCAAGGCATTGATGGACAGCGATTGTGGAGAGAAGGCTAAGGGCTTACTTATCTGACCACGATATACCTGTGGGATTCTCAAGATGAAGTTGGGCCCATTAATAAGCACAGTAGCTGTGACTTGTTTTAGGTGAATAGCCATGGAGAGTCCAATCTCTGCACCTTTGCTTATGGAAACTATGCCAATGCCTGGGCCGAGGACCTAAAAATAATGGAAATGAGATGCAAAATGTGACCATCTCAAATAACCAAAGAACTTGAATGGCCAGTAGGAGCCAAGCAAGGACTAATCCCACCCACATGCCCAGTTCTAGAGTTCTGGAATACATGATGAATGTTCAAAGGAAATAATCCTTCAAAAACATATCAGACCTTCCAAATTAAATACTATGGATTCAGCGTGATGTTAGGCACTGAGTTTAAAATGCCCTAAAGAAATACCAATGTAGTAGGAAAAAGAAGAAAAAGGCCCATAACTCATGTGAATAACATAAGTCAAGTTACAGTTGATCGATCAATGCTGTTGTACCAATTCTAGGGTCTCTAGAAGTCCAGAGGAAAGGGTACTCTACAGGAAAAGACTGAGAAAAAAGATGAGTTTAGTAGAACAGAGAATGGAAATGTGAGCAGAGGATTCTACCTCTGCGGTGGTTTCCCTGGAAGGTTTCTCCTTTAGAGAAAGGTTTCATAAAGGAGACCTGGCTTAGCTTCCTCTTCCGCCTTCAGTCATCAAGCAGGCATTTTTTAAAAAGATTTATTTATTTGACAGAGAGAGAGAGAAAGAGCATACACAAGCAGGCAGAGAAATAGGCAGAGGGAGAGAGAGAAGCAGATTCCTCTGCTGAGCAAGAATGCCTGATGGGGGGCGGGGGGGCTCGATCCCGGGACCCTGGGATCATGACCTAAGATCATGACTCAATGAGCCACCCAGGTGCCCCTAACCAAGCAATTTTAGATTGTCCACCCTGTACTAACCGCCGGAGGACACAGAGGGGAAAAAAGGCATAAGTCATCTCTTATCATCAAGGAACTCACTGCCCGATGGAGAGACAGGAAGGAAAAAACCAGACAATCAGAGTAGCTTACAAATTCTGCGATATAAGAATGCACATAGGCAAGGCTGCCAACCCAGATTACCAGGAAATAAAGCAGGATCAGGGAAAGATTCTCAGAGGAAATGAGCTACAGTTTGGACCTTTATACAAAAAAAAAAAAGCGGGGGGGGCGCAAACAAGAAGGAAAGGTATTGTATGCTGTGTAGTGGACACCAATAAGAACTATTCTCTTTTTCTTTTATGGGGCATGTATCCAGTCCCAGGGGGTAGAGTCTGATGGATCTGAACCTATTCCCCTTTGCAATATATATATATATTTTTTCAGCCTCTTTGGAAGGCCAATACATTCTACCTGAGGTCCTATCCTGTATATTAAGAGGGGTGACTGGAATCATCTCCTTTTGAATTAAAAAGACCTTTCAAGCCCTGAAGTTCTACGTCTTAATATGAAAAATACAGAGTCACAGTTACAGAATGAAAGGTGAGAACTCAGAATGGATTTGGCCAGGGAAGACAGAGTAAAAGGAAGTATAACATGGATTAACAACAACAACAAGTGACTCAGTTATGTGCAGACGTTTGGCAGAACACCAGCTCTTGTTATAACTTCTGCCACCAAATTTGGGATCAGGGAATTTAGAATGCTTAGAAGACACTTAAAATCAACAGATGGAGAAATAAGATCTATAAGGAATTGAAAGGTGGGTGGTCTCTCTTCTCACAGAAGAGAGAGCATGAAGCAGGTTTAGTGGAAGTAGTAAGAGCCTAGGAGAGAAATCTGGTTTCCAAGTCTCATTAGTCATTGACTAACTTTGGGAAGTCATTAGTCATTGGCTGACTTTGGGAAGAACAAAGAGGGAAAAGTCATGCAGCAAGTATAAGGGCAAGCAGGCTAAGAAAGTGAACAGCAGAATCACAGAACCTCCTCATTTCTCATCTAAGCCAAGCAGAAAACTCAGCATAATATAGCTATTTAAAACTTCAATGCATCAGTAGATTGTTAGTGATTATTGCTCATCTTATTACTGTAATTCTGATCATATTTTGGATGATCCTTTATATGAAATAGGGTGTGGTACAGAGACTTAATTTTACTTAGATCAGTTCTTTTTTTTTTGGACTTTATTTATTTATTTGTTTGAGAGAGAGAGGGGATAAGCATGAAGGAGGGAAGTGCTGAGCAGGGAGTCCGATGTGGGACTCCACTCTAAAACCCCGGGGTCATGATCTGAGCTGAAGGCAGACATTTAACCAACTGAGCTAGCCAGATACCCATAGAGCAATTTTTTGTTTTAAAGATTTTATTTATTTGACAGAGACACAGCGAGAGAGGGAACACAGCAGGGGGAGTGGGAGAAGCAGGCTTCCCATAAGCAGGGAACCCAATGTGGGGCTAGATCCCAGGACCCTGGGACCCTCTGGGGATCAGGACCTGGGCTGAAGGCAGATGCTTAAGCAGCTGAGGCACCCAAGCATCCAAGATGCAATGGCTTTAGATTCAGATGGAACTGAGTTGCGTTTCTGTCTCTTTCCCATCTGGTTGTGGGAATTTGGACAAGCTACTAACCCTTTCTAACCCTGAATCTCTTCATCTATTAAATATTATGGTGGTGATGCTATTTCGTAAGGTTCTTGTGAGAAGTAAAGGGGATAATACAAGTGAAGAGCTTACTAGAGTAATTAGCAATACACATCCTCAATAAATGTAATTCTTATTATTATCACCTTCTCTGATTATTATTAAGTCACCAGACTCTACAAGACAGATAATCTTCCTTTGAGGAGTGAGTCTGATTTTTAGTTATTGGAGAGGACTTAACTATAATGCTGTAGGACTTCCCAATCCATACCTTCTTTAAGTTCTAAAATGTACTTTTCCTGCTATATTAGGGTTGCTGCATGTTATCCCTTGTTAATTGCTGATATTTTTTTCTTAATGAGAATTGCTCAGGGCACCTGGGTAAATAAATAAAATCTTTGAAATAAATAAATGAAGCCATTGTGTTTTGATTCCATCATGGACACAGGCTAACTTCCCGTTTTGTCTTTCTGAGCAAAAGACATTGGGTGGGAAAGAAATCATGTGAATAAGATGGCTATGTCATAGAACTTCCAGTTCACTGAGGAGAATCATACTTGGAAGTTAAGGGAAGCCACAGGATGTAATGGGTATTTGAAAACAGGGACTAAGAGGCATCTGGGTGGCTCAGTCGTTAAGCGTCTGTCTTTGGCTTGGTTCATGGTTCCAGAGTCCTGGGATTGGGCCGTATTGGGCTCCCTGCTTGGCAGGGAGCCTGCTTCTCCCTCTCCCACTCCCCCTGCTTCTGTTCCCTATCTCGCTGTGTCTCTCTCTGTCAAAAAAATAAACACAATCTTAAAAACAAACAAACAAACAAGGACTAAAAGAAAAGGCAAAAATTACCTTAGGATGTCTCAGGAGAAAGTTGACAGCTTCCTCAAAATAATCTAATTCTGTCTTTTCTGGTTGGGCAGGCAAATCTTCATAGTTAAAGTAAGCCAAGGCCAAGGAGGCAAAGCCACGACTGGCCAGGAGACTGGCCCGGTACTCAATCAGTCCACCAATACCACCAAACAAGTCAATTATCCCTGGGAAACAGCCCTTTCCTGAGAAAGAAAAAAACAAAACAAAGCTGAGGTTAAGGGGAAGGGAAGGAAAAGAGAAGAAAAATACGACAACACGAAGAAATGCATCACAAATTCTAGAATTGAAGCATAAATTTTCAGTAGAATCCCCAAGTTTTCAGAACTAAAGCTGATTGAATACATTATGGAACATTATGGAACATTAATGGAACATAGTATCAGGAAGGTTGATTGGGAGCCATGTTCACTGACAAGTTTAATCTCTGTAGCCAAGGGGTACTGAGGACTCACAGTGGTTCATTTCTATAGTATTGGAGTAAAGAAAGCCATTGAAATTAGGCAAGCACTTTTTAACCTGTGAAAAAATATACAATTGGGCTTTAGGAAATCAGTGAAGGTCCTGAAATTATATGCAAAATATAGGTTTAAGTGGGTCTTTCTTTCTTCCTTCCTTTCTTTTTTTTTTTTTTAAGAGAGAAAGCATGCAAGCTGGGATGGGGTGGCACGGGGGAGGGGGAGAGGGAAAGGAAGAACTCTTAAGCAGCCTCCGTGCTCAGCAGGGAGCCTGACAGGGGTCTCAGTCTCAGGATCCTGAGATATGACCTGAGCCAAAACCAAGAGTAGGACGATTAACCAACTGAGCCACTCAGGGACCCCTGAGTGGAGCAAATACCATATGTGTGCATTTTACTAATGAAAGCCTCTACAGATTTAATTGAGTTCTCAAAGTATATATAACTCAAAAAAGGGGGGGGGACTTCAAAATATATGACTTCAAAGAAAGCTATTGAAATGATTGTTAACTAAAATCTGGACTTCGCACTGCTCTATTCCACTCATCTGACAACACAGTGACAAAATCTTACAGTCAAGCAGGTGTAAATGGTAAGAACTTCCATGTGACAACAATCTGTTTATTCCCTGCAACTTAACACTGGTAAAAAGTAGGTCAGAGTGTCATTCTACACACGCTCTGTGTAGGCAGCTAGTTTTCTAAATAAAGCAAAAAAAATTTATGATGCACTTCTTGGAGGCACTCTAGTCTCCAGTAAGTGATTTTAACAGAAGTAGACTTGTCCCATCCATGGAGGCACCTGGCTGGCTAAGTCAGTAGCGCATGTGACTCTTGATCTTGGGGTTGAGTTCAAGCCCCATGTTAGTACTTAAAGAGATAAGTAAGTGAGATGTTACTTAAAAATAAAAATTAAAAAAAAAAAAGAGTGACTTGATTTAAAGGATATTGGGAATTTTCAAAACAAAACATTGCTATGTTTTCTCATCTTGAGAAAGGGAGCAAATACCATTTAATAAAATGGTATTAAATATATCTTGGCTTTAGAGGGGAGGAGTCAAGATGGCGGAGAAGTAGTAGGCTGAGACTACTTCAGGTAGTGGGAGATCAGCTAGATAGCTTATCTAAAGATTACAAACACCTACAAATCCAACAGGAGATCGAAGAGAAGAACAGCAATTCTAGAAACAGAAAATCAACCACTTTCTGAAAGGTAGGACTGGCGGAGAAGTGAATCCAAAGCGACAGGAAGATAGACCGCGGGGGCAGGGGCCGGCTCCCGGCAAGCGGCGGAGCAACGGAGCACAAAATCAGGACTTTTAAGTCTGTTTCGCTGAGGGACATCGCTCCAGAGGCTTAACCGGGGTGAAGCCCACGCGGGGTCAGCGTGGCCTCAGGTCCCGCAGGGTCACAGAAGGATCGGGGGTGTCTGAGTGTCGCAAAGCTTACAGGATTAGAACAGGGAAGCCGGCTACAGAGACAGAGCCGAGGAGTGAGCTCTCAGCTCGGGGTTACCTTGAACCGGTCGCAGGCTCAGTCAGCTTGGAGCGTGGCCGGAGGCCAGGGTGACGGGAGTAATTGGGCGCTGTTCTCTGAGGGCGAACTGAGGAGTGGGGCCCCGGGCTCTCAGCTCCTCTGGGCCGGAGACCGGGAGGCTGCCATCTTCATTCCCGTCCTCCAGAAATCTACGGAAAGCGCTCAGGGAACAAAAGCTCCCGAAAACAAACGCGAGTGGATGACTCAGCCCGGCCCCTGGTAAGGGCGGTGCAATTCCGCCTGGGGCAAAGACACTTGAGAATCACTACAACAGGCCCCTCCCCCAGAAGATCAATAAGAAACCCAGCCAGGACCAAGTTCACCTACCAAGGAGTGCAGTTTCAATACCAAGGAGAGCAGTGGAATTCCAGAGGAGGAGAAAGCAAAGCATGGAACTCATGGCTTTCTCCCCATGATTCTTTAGCCTTGCAGTTAATTTAATTGTTTTTCTTTTTCAATTTTCATTGTTTCTTTCTTTTTTTTTTTTTTTCTGAACCTCTTTTTATCCCCTTTCTCCCCGCTCACGATTTGGGATCTCTTCTGATTTGGCTAAAGCATATTTTCCTGAGGTTGTTGCCACCCTTTTCGTATTTTACCTGCTCCTTTATATACTCTTATCTGGACAAAATGACAAGGCAGAAAAATTTACCACAAAAAAAAGAACAAGAGGCAGTACCGAAGGCTAGGGACCTAATCAATACAGACATTGGTAATATGTCAGATCTAGAGTTCAGAATGACGATTCTCAAGGTTCTAGCCGGGCTCGAAAAAGGCATGGAAGATATTAGAGAAGCCCTCTCGGGAGATATAAAAGCCCTTACTGGAGAAATAAAAGAACTAAAATCTAACCAAGTTGAAATAAAAAGAAGCTATTAATGAGGTGCAATCAAAAATGGAGGCTCTCACTGCTAGGATAAATGAGGCAGAAGAAAGAATTAGCGATATAGAAGACCAAATGACAGAGAATAAAGAAGCTGAGCAAAAGAGGGACAAACAGCTACTGGACCATGAGGGGAGAATTCGAGAGATAAGTGACACCATAAGACGAAACAACATTAGAATAATTGGGATTCCAGAAGAAGAGGAAACAGAGAGGGGAGCAGAAGGTATATTGGAGAGAATTATTGGAGAGAATTTCCCCAATATGGCAAAGGGAACAAGCATCAAAATCCAGGAGGTTCAGAGAACCCCCCTCAAAATCAATAAGAATAGATCCACACCCCGTCACCTAATAGTCAAATTTACAAGTCTTAGTGACAAAGAGAAAATTCTGAAAGCAGCCTGGGAAAAGAAGTCTGTAACATACAATGGTAAAAATATTAGATTGGCAGCAGACTTATCCACAGAGACCTGGCAGGCCAGAAAGAGCTGGCATGATATATTCAGAGTACTAAACGAGAAAAACATGCAGCCAAGAATACTATATCCAGCTAGGCTATCATTGAAAATAGAAGGAGAGATTAAAAGCTTCCAGGACAAACAAAAACTGAAAGAATTTGCAAACACCAAACCAGCTCTACAGGAAATATTGAAAGGGGTCCTCTAAGCAAAGAGAGACCCTAAAAGTAGTAGATCAGAAAGGAACAGAAACAATATACAATAACAGTCACCTTACAGGCAATACAATGGCACTAAATTCATATCTCAGTAGTCACCCTGAATGTTAATGGGCTAAATGCCCCAATCAAAAGACACAGGGTATCAGAATGGATAAAAAAACAAAACCCATCTATATGTTGCCTACAAGAAACTCATTTTAAACCCGAAGACACCTCCAGATTTAAAGTGAGGGGGTGGAAAAGAAGTTACCATGCTAATAGACATCTGAAGAAAGCAGGAGTGGCAATCCTTATATCAGATCAATTAGATTTTAAGCCAAAGACTATAATAAGAGATGAGGAAGGACACTATATCATACTCAAAGGAACTGTCCAACAAGAAGATCTAACAATTTTAAATATCTATGCCCCTAACGTGGGAGCAGCCAACTATATAAACCAATTAATAACAAAATCAAAGAAACACATCAACAATAATACAATAATAGTAGGGGACTTTAACACTCCCCTCACTGAAATGGACAGATCAAGCAAAAGATCAACAAGGAAATAAAGGCCTTAAATGACACACTGGACCAGATGGACATCACAGATATATTCAGAACATTTCATCCCAAAGCAACAGAATACACATTCTTCTCTAGTGCACATGGAACATTCTCCAGAATAGATTACATCCTCGGTCCTAAATCAGGTCTCAACCGGTATCAAAAGATTGGGATCATTCCCTCCATATTTTCAGACCACAATGCTCCGAAGCTAGAACTCAATCACAAGAGGAAATTTGGAAAGAACCCAAATACATGGAGACTAAACAGCATCCTTCTAAAGAATGAATGGGTAAACCAGGAAATTAAAGAAGAATTGAAAAAATTCATGGAAACAAATGATAATGAAAACACAACGGTTCAAAATCTGTGGGACACAACAAAGGCAGTCCTGAGAGGAAAATATATAGCGGTACAAGCCTTTCTCAAGAAACAAGAAAGGTCTCAGGTACACAACCTAACCCTACACCTAAAGGAGCTGGAGAAAGAACAAGAAAGAAACCCTAAACCCAGCAGGAGAAGAGAAATCCTAAAGATCAGAGCAGAAATCAATGAAATAGAAACCACAAAAACAATAGAACAAATCAACGAAACTCGGAGCTGGTTCTTTGAAAGAATTAATAAGATTGACAAACCCCTGACCAGACTTATCAAAAAGAAAAGAGAGAGGACCCAAATAAATAAAATCATGAATGAAAGAGGAGAGATCACAACGAACACCAAAGAAATACAGACAATTATAAGAACATACTATGAGCAACTCTACGCCAACAAATTTGACAATCTGGAAGAAATGGATGCATTCCTAGAGACATATAAACTACCACAACTGAACCAGGAAGAAATAGAAAGCCTGAACAGACCCATAACCAGTAAGGAGATTGAAACAGTCATCAAAAATCTCCAAACAAACAAAAGCCCAGGGCCAGACGGCTTCCTGGGGGAATTCTACCAAACATTTAAAGAAGAACTACTTCCTATTCTCCTGAAACTGTTCCAAAAAATAGAAATGGAAGGAAAACTTCCAAACTCATTTTATGAGGCCAGCATCACCTTGATTCCAAAACCAGACAAGGATCCCATCAAAAAAGAGAACTACAGACCAATATCCTTGATGAACACAGATGCAAAAATTCTCACCAAAATACTAGCCAATAGGATTCAACAGTACATTAAAAGGATTATTCACCACGACCAAGTGGGATTTATTCCAGGGCTGCAAGGTTGGTTCAACATCCGCAAATCAATCAATGTGATACAACACATTAATAAAAGAAAGAACAAGAACCATATGATACTCTCCATAGATGCTGAAAAAGCATTTGACAAAGTACAGCATCCCTTCCTGATCAAAACTCTTCAAAGTGTAGGGATAGAGGGCACATACCTCAATATTATCAAAGCCATCTATGAAAAAACCACCGCAAATATCATTCTCAATGGAGAAAAACTGAAAGCTTTTCCACTAAGGTCAGGAACACTGCAGGGATGTCCATTAGCACCACTGCTATTCAACATAGTACTAGAAGTCCTAGCCTCAGCAATCAGACAACAAAAGGAAATGAAAGGCATCCAAATTGGCAAAGAAGAAGTCAAACTATCACTCTTTGCAGATGATATGATACTATATGTGGAAAACCCAAAAGAATCCACTCCAAAACTGCTAGAACTTGTACAGGAATTCAGTACAGTGTCAGGATATAAAATCAATGCACAGAAATCAGTTGCATTTCTCTACACCAACAACAAGACAGAAGAAAGAGAAATTAAGGAGTCAATCCCATTTACAATTGCACCCAAAACTATAAGATACCTAGGAATAAACCTAACCAAAGAGACTAAGAATCTATACACAGAAAACTATAAAGTACTCATGAAAGAAATTGAGGAAGACACAAAGAAATGGAAAAATGTTCCATGCTCCTGGATTGGAAGAATAAATATTGTGAGAATGTCTATGCTACCTAAAGCAATCTACACATTTAATGCAATTCCTATCAAAGTACCATCCATTTTTTTTCAAAGAAATGGAACAAATAATCCTAAAATTTATATGGAACCAGAAAAGACCTCGAATAGCCAAAGGAATATTGAAAAAGAAAGCCAAAGTTGGTGGCATCACAATTCCGGACTTCAAGCTCTATTACAAAGCTGTCATCATCAAGACAGCATGGTACTGGCACAAAAACAGACACATAGATCAATGGAACAGAATAGAGAGCCCAGAAATAGACCCTCAACTCTATAGTCAACTAATCTTCGACAAAGCAGGAAAGAATGTCCAATGGAAAAAAGACAGCCTCTTCAATAAATGGTGTTGGGAAAATTGGACAGCCACATGCAGAAAAATGAAATTGGATCATTTCCTTACACCACACACGAAAATAGACTCAAAATGGATGAAGGACCTCAATGTGAGAAAGGAATCCATCAAAATCCTTGAGGAGAACACACGCAGCAACCTCTTCGACCTCAGCCGCAGCAACATCTTACTAGGAACATCGCCAAAGGCAACGGAAGCAAGGGCAAAAAATGAACTATTGGGATTTTATCAAGATCAAAAGCTTTTGCACAGCAAAGGAAACAGTTAACAAAACCAAAAGACAACTGACAGAATGGGAGAAGATATTTGCAAATGACATATCAGATAAAGGGCTAGTGTCCAAAACCTATAAAGAACTTAGCAAACTCAACACCCAAAGAAGAAATAATCCAATCAAGAAATGGGCAGATGACATAAACAGACATTTCTGCAAAGAAGACATCCAGATGGCCAACAGACACATGAAAAAGTGCTCCATATCACTCGGAATCAGGGAAATACAAATCAAAACCACAATGAGATACCACCTCACACCAGTCAGAATGGCTAAAATTAACAAGTCAGGAAATGACAGATGCTGGCGAGGATGCGGAGAAAGGGGAACCCTCCTACACTGTTGGTGGGAATGCAAGCTGGTGCAACCACTCTGGAAAACAGCATGGGGTTCCTCAAAATGTTGAAAATAGAACTACCCTATGACCCAGCAATTGCACTGCTGGGTATTTACCCTAATGATACAAACGTAGTGATACGAAGGGGCACGTGCACCCGAATGTTTATAGCAGCAATGTCTACAATAGCCAAACTATGGAAAGAACCTAGATGTCCATCCACAGATGAATGGATAAAGAAGATGTGGTATATATACACAATGGAATACTATGCAGCCATCAAAAGAAATGAACTCTTGCCATTTGCTACGACGTGGATGGAACTAGAGGGTATCGTGGTTAGCGAAATAAGTCAATCGGAGAAAGACAACTATCATATGATCTCCCTGATATGAGGGAGAGGAGATGCAACATGGGGGGGTTAAGGGGGTAGGAGAAGAGTAAATGAAACAAGATGGGATTGGGAGGGAGACAAACCATAAGTGACTCTTAATCTCACAAAACAAACTGAGGGTTGATGGGGGGAGGGGGGGTGGGGGGTTATGGACATTGGGGAGGTTATGTGCTATGGTGAGTGCTGTGAAGTGTGTAAACCTGGCTATTCACAGACCTGTACCCCTGGGGATAAAAATATATTATATGTTTATAAAAAATAAAATTTAAAATATATATATATATATATATATATATATCTTGGCTTTAAAATACCACTTCAAGGAGCACCTGGGTGACTCAATTGCTTAAGCGACTGTTTTCGGCTTAGGTCATGATCCCAGGGTCCTGGTATCGAGCCCCATGTCAGGCTCCTTGCTTGGCAGGGAGCCTGCTTCTCCCTCTCCCTCTGCCTGCTACTCCACCTGCTTGTGCTCTCTCTCTCTCTCTCTCTCTCTCTCTCTCTCTCCCCTCCCCTCTGTCAAATAAACAAATAAAATAAAATAAATTTTTAAAAATACCGCTTCAGGGGCGCCTGGGTGGCTCAGTGGGTTAAGGCCTCTGCCTTCGGCTCAGGTCATGATCCCAGGGTCCTGGGATCGAGCCCCGCATCAGGCTCTCTGCTCGGCGGGGAGCCTGCTTCCTCCTCTCTCTCTGCCTGTCTCTCTACCTACTTGTGATCTCTATCTGTCAAATGAATAAATAAAGAAATCTTTAAAAAAAATAAATAAAAATACCGCTTCAATAAATGAGTAAAGTTGCTTTTCATCTCCTGATTGCCAGGAGGAGGGAGGACTTAAGAGTAACGAGCCTCTGATCGTGGAAGAATGTTGAGTTGAGAATTGTTTTGAGACCTGACTCAATCCTCTTTTCGCCCCACACAGCTCAATGCTCCTTTGTATCTATCCCCACAGAACAAGCAGGACACACAGAACATGCAGTATCTGCGAGGATTCACCAAAAGTACCCTCTAACCCAGCACATCATCCCCAGGTGATGGGGATATCACTGATATGTAGATTTTTAACTGGGGTGGAATAGGAGAGGCACAGACATTTGTGCCACTTAATTTCCCATCCCTACACACAATGTTGTTGTCTCTGTGCTAATTACTAGGTGTACAAATACTGAAATTTATGACTGCATGTGTCAGGATGATTGTGGAAAGGGAAGGAAGCTTTTTTTTTTTTTAAGATTTTATTTATTTATTTGACAGAGATCACAAGTAGGCAGAGAGGCGGGCAGAGAGAGGGGGGAAGCAGGCTCCTGCCGAGCAGAGAGCCTGATGCAAGGCTCGATCCCAGGACCCTGAGATCATGACCTGAGCCGAAGGCAGAGGCCTTAACCCACTGAGCCACCCAGGCGCCCCGAAAGGGAACCTTTTATTCTTTCTACATCATCTATAACTCTATGCTGTCAGTTACCACCTTGAACACTTCAGGCTTCCTTTACCCATCTTACTTCTACATGTTTCTGTTTCTGAAAGCATAAGAGAGAGGCAGTACATCCTGATGATACGATGGCTGTGTCCCAGATTGAAGCTCATGCCTAAAGAAGGGGCTCTCAGACACACCTGAGACCCAGACCTGTCGAGGGCTGCTTCTGGGAAACTGACTTTGCTTCATTCAGTCCCACAATAAACCCTGAGAAATGTACCAGTACACGTTTTGAACCACTTATTGGTATGTGGAGATCACTGTGGGAAACTGACTTTTCTGGTAGGGATCATGTTGTGTATCTGTGGATGTATGAAATGTCCTATAAATATGCAGCATTCATGGAACTAGAGAGTATAGAGTCTCTTTGCATCCTCTATATTTGTTGCAACATTTCAGTCCGTTGTATCATCAGCTTATTCGATGCAATGACCTATACCTAAGTTGAAACTCAGGTAAGATAGAACTCCCAAAAGAAGCTGGGACATAATCGATATCAGGAGGTGAATCTTCAGGTAGTGGCCTTTAACACAGACGGATTTCACATAAATCCAAAGCTATGAAGCCCCATAATGCAGGGACTCCATAAACTACATATAGTCATATCCTTAGACAAGCTCCAGAATTGTTGAGATCCAACTTGAGTTGGAATGTGGCCTCACCATATTCTTTTTTTTTTTAAGATTTTATTTATTTATTTGACAGAGATCACAAGCAGACAGAGAGGCAGGCAGAGAGAGAGAGAGAGGGAAGCAGGCTCCCTGCTGAGCAGAGAGCCTGATGCCGGACTCGATCCCAGGACCGTGAGATCATGACCTGAGCCGAAGGCAGCGGCTTAACCCACTGAGCCACCTAGGTTCCCCGCCTCACCATATTCTTGTTCTGACCCAGAGTTAGCCCTGATTCTAAGGCTGGAAAGGACTATACTATGTACTATCCATTTCCAAATTAAACCTCTAGAAGGATTAGGCACTGGAAAGAGGAGACATAAGGATGACAGTAACCAGGTTAATTTTACTCACTAGGAGGGAGGAAGAGGGCTCCCCGAAGGTGGCCTTCCCGAACTTGGATCCGTTTGACACCAGGTGCTACATACCACCTCTCCAAAGTCAGGCTGACTTTTGGAGCAGTGGTGGCGATGTCGGTTAATTCCAAATTTGAATCATAAAGTTTTATTTGGACCAGGAAGGGGCTATTCATCACATCTCTTTTCACCAATTTCATTAAAAATTTTTCAGGTTTCAGGGACCAGAAGAGACCCATAGGGTGGACTCCGATGTAGTCACCTCCCAGCAAAGGGGCCTGCTGCAGGTCTACCTCCCAGCTTCATTGGCCTTACAGTAGGCTTGAGAATGAAATAGGTTCCCCTTCTCATCTGCCAGGGAGGCCTGAAGAATCACTACTTGAAAGGGAGACAGGCCAGTAGCACGAATGTGCACGGGTTCATCAACAAGTGCATTTGCCGGTGTAGCTGTCAGCTGAATCATTGTTACAATGAGGCACCTGGGATGATTCTCAGTAATGTTTGTAGTAAGACCTGGATGTAAAAAATAGATACATGGGAAAATTAAATAAGACAGTGATAAGATTAATGAAAGGTGAACTGGACCAGGAACCTGGCTGCTTGGGATTCAGCTCTAAAAATATCCTGATATAGGGGCGCCTCGGTGGTTCAGTCCTTAGATGTCTGCCTTCGGCTGGGGTTGTCATCCCAGGGTCCTGGGATTGAGCCCTGCATCAAGCTCCCTGCTCAGTGGGGAGCCTGCTTCTCCCCCGCCCCCCAATCTCCCTGCTTGTGCTCTCTCTCTTTCTATCAAATAAACAAATACAGGGGCCCCTAGGTGGTTCAGTGGGTTAAAGCCTCTGCCTTCAGCTCAGGTCATGATCCCAGGGTCCTGGGATCGAGCCCCGCACTGGGCTCTCTGCTCAGTGGGGAGCCTGCTTCCCTTCCTCTCTCTCTGCCTGCCTCTCTGCTTACTTGTGATCTCTCTCAAAATAAATAAACAAATAAATAAACAAGTAAATACAAGCTTAAAATAAATAAATAATAAATAAAAATATCCTGATATTATCTGCAAGTGCAAGATACCGGAGAGCTTTTAGCAAATATGTGGAAGACATAAAACAAGTAGATGCCTTTTATAGTAATCATGAACCAGGGTGGAGGAAGCAGCAGCCAAACAGGCACAAATGGTATCAGCACATCCAAGGAAGATCTCACAATTGGCCATCCAGAGCCCTTGAAAAATTAGATGCAGTAGAGGACAAGAGTGAGATGTGTGGCTGAAAATTGGGTTTGTTGGGGCTCCTGGGTGACTCCGTTGGTTCAAGTTCTGAGTCTTGATTTCAGCTCAGGTCATGATCGTAGGGTCCTGGGATTGAGTCCCATGTCAGGCTCCCTGCTCAGCACAGAGTCTGCTTGTCCCTCGCCCTCTGCTCACCCCACTTGCAGTCTCTTCCTCACTCTCTCAAATAATTAGTAAATAAATAAATACTCTTCTTAAAGAAAAAAGAAAACAGAGGATTTGTTAAACATCTACATATATGGAACTGGTGACTCTGCTACTAAGAGAGCATGAAAACCAGACAAATCTTCCCAAAAGAATGAGGACAAAATCTTTGGGGAGAACAAGGAGGCTGACATACATGTTTCTCCCTAAAGAAAAAATACTCACAGCTTCGTAGTTAGGCTTCTCCAGTCATAAGCAAAACCAGATGCTGACAGAACCTTCAGGTACAGAAAAATTTGCTAAGCATTTCATAATCTCTGTCTTAAAGATTAAGGAATGCCTTTCTCCTTCGGGTTAGTGTGAAGAAAGTCACAAAAATGGTCATTGTTCCCATTCTAATAACCTAAACTTACCTGGATAAAGACAAAATGAAATTTTTTTGTTTTCTTAAACTCATTAGATTGCCAGGAATCTAAATGAATTAAACTCCAGTGAGTGATAGGTTCCTCCTATGAAAGAGGAAACTTTCTCTTCTACAGAGTATTTTCATCTATGATAAAACAGCAAAAAAGAATCCCCCATAAAGAAAAGTGAGGAGAAATGAACAGAACATTTAATGCAATTTTAATGGATGTTTGCAGGCTGTTTTGATAGATTAGAATTCTGAGAGATCCTAGCCAGAGTCCTTCTCCAAGGACTTGGAGATTTGGCCACATACTCTAGGACAATACATCAAAGAATGCTAGCAGAGGCATGAGCTGGGAGAAATCTGTCTGAGGCATTGCAAGTCTTTCGTATAAAGCAAAGCAGCTAACTTTCAAAGGAAGGGGGAGATAGCCAAATAGATTTCCCTGGGCTTAGAAAGCCAGGAGTGGGACTACAGAGCAAAGAAATTTTCTTAGTGACCCTTTTTCTAGAAGAATTCTAAATCAGAGAGAAATATCCTACAGTTAGAAAAGCTAGCAACATGGCCATAAAAAGCCAAAGATATCTCGAGAAGTTCACCAATGCTTAGCCCGCAGTTTCTTCTAATGAGGAAGGGCTAATCCCATACCCAGAAATAGCTGAAGGCAGTGGTGCACCGACTCAGGTCAAGCAGCAGTGGGGCACCTGGGTGGCTCAGTGGGTTAAAGCCTCTGCCTTCAGCTCAGGTCATGATCTCAGGGTCCTGGGATTGAGCCCAGCCTCCCCTTCTCTCTCTGCCTTCTTGTGATCTCTGTCTGTCAAATAAACAAATAAAATCTTAAAAAAAAAAAAAAGGCAGCAGCAAGCCGAGACCCAGGTCAACCACAGGTCAGATGGGTTCAGCCTTTAATTCTTCTTTTTTTTTAATTTTTTAAAAATTTTTCATGATTTTATTTATTTGACAGACAGTTCACAAGTAGGCAGAGAGGTAGGCAGAGAGACAGGAAGGGAAGCAGGCTCCCCACTGAGCAGAGAGCCCGATGCGGGGCTCGATCCCAGGACCCTAGGATCACGACCTGAGCTGAAGGCAGAGGCTTTAACCCGCTGAGCCACCCAGGTGCCCCTCAGCCTTTAATTCTAACATCCTGACACGGTAGGGCTTTGCTCTTTTCTTGAGGTAAATATTACTTATTCTGGTCATTTCTTTTATATGAAATATCTGGAGTATGATTGTAAATATTATAAGACACAAGAGAATCAAGAAAATTGATCCATGATGATGATAAGAGCAAACAGTCCATAGCAAGAGGCACAGAAATAGCCAAGAGAGTGGAATGATTAGAAAGGAACTTTGTTGTGGTGTTTTTTTTTTTCATTTGGGGGGGGGTGGTTTAGAAGACATAGAGAGCACCCTTTCCCTTGCCTGTGCTTGCTCTCTCTCTCAAATAAATGAAATCTTTAAAAAAGTCTTTAATATGTATACACACATACATATGTGTATATTTAAATGCACTTAAAAGACTTTAAAATAAAAATAATAATGTCTTATGGGGTTTAAAGAACACATAGAGGGGCACCTGGGTGGCTCAGTGGGTTAAAGCCTCTGCCTTCGGCTCAGGTCATGATCCCAGGGTCCTGGGATCGAGCCCCGCATCGGGCTCTCTGCTCAGCGGGGAGCCTGCTTCCCCTCTCTCTCTCTGCCTGCCTCTCTGCCTACTTGTGATCTCTCTCTGTCAAAATAAATAAATAAAATCTTTTAAAAAAAAATAAGGAACACATAGAAATATAACAACAAAAAGGTGGGAATGCAGTTAATAGAATTATATTGTTTAAGATTGTTATCTTATTATTTTTCAAGCAGTACAAGATTATTTGCAGGCAGACTGTAACGATTTAAAGGCACTATTAGGAGCTCAGCCCAGCCCAGGAAGACAGAGAAAGCTGAGCAGCTTAGGTATTAGAGTAGCTGATGAAAGCAGCAAGCTGAAAACAAGAATCAAGCTTTTAATCACTTACTGTGAGGGAGAAAGTGCCTGATCAAGATAGGGATGAAGAGTCCGAAGTCGGCAGGTCAGCCAGATGTGGGGGTGGGTTCACTGTTGAGGGAGCCCCAAACCAAGGATCCAGCAGTTCTGAAGTCAGGGTAGAGTGAGGGGAAGGGCTAGAAGTAGAAAAGAACTGGCTGCTGAATGAGAATGAATGAAAATGTCTTCAAGCATTCTTGCGCAAAGAGGTCTCCCTCTTGCATACAGAGGCCTCAGCACACATACCTGAAGACTTTGGACCTTGAGCAAAGGTCTGATGATAAACAGATCTACAATGAAGGCTCCTGGGGAGGAAAGGCAAATATGAGGGTCCAACCAGCCTGTGTGACTAGTGACTAGGGAGAACAGTAAGTACCAAGTGTCCAGAGTCCTTGCCTCCAACTTTTTTCAGAGATTGCCATGCACTGGTTGTACCCCAAGTCCTGTGCTGGAAGAGCAACATTCCACCATGATACCTGCCAACTAAAGCCTTTGTAATTGCCTATGGTCAGTTCTGGGAAATCACACATGAGTTTTTAACCAAGAGCTAGACTTCTCAGGTACCTATTATATTCTCTAGAATAACACACACACAAAAATATTTGAGTAACCCCAAAAGAAATAGGTGTTCCAGTTACTAGGCTGTGTAATAAACCACTCAAAAACTTAAAGGTGTACAACAGCTGTTTATTGTGCTCCTATGTTCTGTAGGACACCAGGACACCAGGAAAGTGCTCAATGAGATCAGCCATCAGTTGCAAAGACAAAAAGCTTTTGGAGACTACTAAACCAGTTCTCACAACTGTGTAAGATCAAATCCTTGAAGAGTTCTATCCCAGTGGGGTGAAGGAAGCTGAAGGAAAGACGACTGTCAATTGATAATTTAGGCAAGTTCAAATCTGAAACTGCTATTTGCTATACCATGTGTAAATCCTCCTGCATTTTTAGAGAGATGACATTGCCTGGTAAGAGTAGGAATGAGAATGAATATGTCAGCTGAATTATTCCAGATTGAGAAAGGAAATAGAGTGGTAGTTGAAGGACGGGCCAAGAGTTTGCTTTGTGTCCTACCTCACCACATTCCTCAAGAACCCTACTTTGAGATAATAAGAACTCAAAAGCAAGTGGTGTACTTTGAGGGATTTCCAGGAAACATGAGCACCGAGGAACAATGGGAAGTATCTAATAAATTGTTGGTTGAGGGCTGACTGGTGGGGGAAGAAGGAGCCTTAATTTCCCACCACTTCCATCCTGCCATGCTGAGAGGTAAAGTGGACTCTGGAGGCCCCCAAAAACTGTCAGGCACAGGAATCCAAGGTCTGATATTGTGAGTCAGGCCTGTGCACTAATACCACTAGGAGAAGTCTATACAGACAAGGTATTGACAGTATCTGCTAACACTGTGTTCTGTTTTTAATGTGTGTGTGTATGTGTGTGTGTGTGTTCAGAGGGAGAGAGCGAGAGATGGGGTAGACATGGGCATGAATACATGCTGATGAGAATGAGCCTACAGACAAGTGCTGAGAATGAAAATCTGATGGTGAATAAGACATTTTTCCCTGAGTAGCTTAAAAACAAGGGATTTTATAGCCCCAAAGTACTCTATTTCCCTTGTAAATTTATTCAAGAAATTGAGTATAATTGAGTATACATAAGGCACACAGAAATACATGGCAGTCAGGAATGGAATTTATATCTCCAACTCTTAGTAAAATTGATCAGTAGTTCAATAAGAATTTATCAAGGGTCTACACTATGATAATCATGGAGAAATTAGACACAGTCCTACTTTAAATAAGCCTAAAGGTGTAGACTTCCTTCCATACATTATCCATTAAGTTTCTACTTAAATATCACATGGATCAACCAGTGTTCCTGAACAGAAAGAAAGTAAATAAAAAGTCATTAGCCTTAGTTCAACTTATAATTCTTTTCAAACATCATCACTTTTTCCTTCATATCCTTAGTTTATTACATTTCACTACCAGAAAGCATTCTTGAATTGCATAAATATGTAAGACCTTTAAGAAATATCCTCGCATAATGTAATTCTAACAAACCATTCATCTGACATTAAATCACCCTTCAAATAATATAAAAATAAGACCACAATTCAAAATCCCAGACTAAGAGAGTTTCTTCTACAATATTCTAGGAAACAGTTTTAGAAAGAGGGAAAAATATTAATGGAGATGGGGGAAGATAGAATAAAGAAAAGTTAACAAATAATTTCAGAGTCATTCTTCCCCAGAAATATAAATTCTGGCTTCATATCTTCATAATCACAAGTCCCTGTTGGTATCTTCTGTAAACAAACTCCAACAGAGTTTGTGCCCTTATCTGAGCACTCTTTGAACTCCATAGCTGAGGTTATAAAATGGGCAAAAAGACTATTTGTCTGCATGAACTGCTAAATTCCAAACACTGAAATTAAGAATCTGACTTTACTTCTCATTCAAGACCTGAGACTTTAACACATTTCCAATCAGCCCAGAGGAGATAGCCCTGATTACAAGCTAAAAAGTACCTGACATATTCCCATCGAACCTTCCTTTTCCTCAATAAAGAAGAATGGCGCTATCTAGAGTCATCTTATAAGTCAAAACCTCAAATATGTCTTTGCAGTCTAACCAAACTAATTAAGCACTGTCTCCCTCTCTAAATAAATAAATAAATAAATAAATAAATAAATAAATGAATGTGGGGTGCTTGTGTGGCTCAGTCTTTGAGCCTCTGTCTTAGGCTCAGGATCAAGCCCACATTGGATTTCCTATTCGGCAGGAAGCCTGCTTCTCCGTCTCCCACTCCCTCTGCTTGTATTCCCTCTCTCACTGAGTCTCTCTCTGCCAAATAAATAAATAAAATCTTAAAAAAAAAAAAGAGGAAAGTAAACCCAAATTAGAAGAAAGGAAGTAAGAAAAGTGTATTAGCAATGAAACAGAAAATAAACAGTAGAAAGAAATTAACAAAGACGAATCTGGTTCTTTGAGGAGACCGACAAAATTGATGAACTACAAGCCAGAATGATCAAATAAAAAGAATAAAATTTAAATACCCAAAATGAAAGGGGGTTATCGTTGCAGATATAATAGACCATTAAGAGGAAAATAAGAGAATATTATGAACAATTTTATGCCAACTAATTTGACAACTTAGATGGAGTGAATAAATTCCTTGTAAAATACAATTTAATAAAGAACTGTTTCAAAGTAAAGGAGAGCAAGTGAAGGTGATAACAAAAATGTAAAGCGTGAACCACGATTCAATCCTCTATCAGGAGGTAAAATTACTATGAAGGTCATTTCTGGGGCATCAGTGAAATTTGAATATGAAAAACGTATGATTAGTATTGCTTCAGTGTTAAATATTTTGAATTTAATATTTCCTGATGGAAAATAAATTTCATGGTAGCTGCAGTTTGCTACTATTCAACTAACATTGGAATTCTGCTGAATCAGAAGTTAATTTTAGAGACTACTTTTGAACTTAGAAATCATACAAGTAAAAACTTTAGGACTTCTGCACTGTGAAATAACCTAATAAAAATAAGATAGAAAAGTGACTGCAGATAAGATAAGCTCATGTTTGCAGGTATGACTGAGTTCAAGGTACCTGTCATTTAATCTCTTCGGATATACACAACACATGTTAATGGGATTACAAATCAAAGAAGTAGGACAGGGGTGTCTCAGTAAGAGAGCATGTGAATCTTACTTAATCTTGGAGTCATGAATTCAAGCCCCACTTTGGGTGTAGAGCTTACTTTAAAAAAATACTGCCAAAAAAAAAAAATACTGCCAAAAGGATGACTTGAGATTAATAAATATTTATAAACAAAGAAGGCCACATTGCCCATTCCTAGGTTCAAAGTCAAGAAATTTAGTGGAACGACTTCCACTTCTGAGTAAAAGGGAGTTTTATGGCAGACCAATACACAAAGAACTAAAAAAAGTTGTATTTTAAAAAATAGATAAAAATAAAAGCAAAAGCTGGCAATAACTTAAATATCCGGTAATAGCATATTGGTTGAAAGATTACAGTGGTCCTCCCCACCCTTAGCTAGATTCACTTTCCAATTTGATTTACCATTGGTCAACCCCAATCAGGAAGCAAACAATCCTTCTGATGAAAATCAGGTCAATAGCATCTACCTAATTCTACATCACAACACCTGGGTTATTCACCTCACTTCATCACAAATAGGCATTTTATCATCTCACCTCATCATAAGAAGGGTGAGTATAGTACAATATATATTTTTTAAAGATTTTATTTATTTATTTGACAGAGAGAAAGAGATCACAAGTAGGCAGAGACAGGGGGAAACAGGCTCCCCACAGAGCAGAGAGTCTCTGAGATCATGATCTAAGCCAAAGGCAGAGGCTTAGCCCATTGAGCCATCCAGGTGCCCCCAGTTTAGCACAATATTTTGAAAGACCACCTTCACATAACTTTCATTACAGCATATTGCTATAATTCTTCTATTTAATATTAGTTATTGCTAATTTCTTACAGTACCTAATTATAAACTCTCATAGGTCTGAATGTATAGGAAAAAATATAGCATATATAGGGTTAAATACTATCCAGGGTTTCAGCATCCATTGGGGGCCTTGAAATGTATCCCCCCATGGTTAAGAAAGGTCTACTGTACCTAACATTCAGTGACAGAATGTTATTAGTCAAATTTGTTACTCTTAAGACTATCTTAATATAAGCAGAAATGATCGTAAAGTGAAGGGAACAGGACAATGTGACAGTAAGTTTTAAAATATAGGAAAAAAGTTTCTTTTCATTTGGAAATACACCAATATGTTAGTGATTTTCTGAGTAGTAAGACCAAAATGGTATTTGCTTTCCCAAATTTTTAAAAATGTGCTTTTTCTAATCAGAAAAATGATGTTAAAATAAAAAAAGAAGAGAGGGAGAAGTCTATTTATGTGGCTTGAAATACAACTGTCTGTGCAAATGTATTTCTATTAACACTGAATATTTTATTACCAGGTTTTATGTAAATATATTTACTGAGTTGAAAGGCCCAGCTAACTATAATTGAGAACTCTTTTATACAGCAATTACTTAATTTTTTAAAATGTTAACCATTTATAATTATATCATGCTTGGTGACCTCAGTAAACAAGTTAGCAAATCTAATGTAAACTTTTCAGGAAAACCAAAGGTCATCATTGATAGATTTATTGCATTGGACTGTCAAACAGTGACACCTTCTAGTGTTATTAATGGAGGTGGTTTATCTTGTCCATTAGCTCAATGTTTCAGGACCACTGCTTCAGGGATGGTACTTTCCCACTTTAATACTAGGGTCTAGGATCATGTTACTCAAACCATGAACAGCATTGTGTAGGAGTTTTTTAGACATACAGAAGCTCAGGACCCATTCTTGATCTATGTAATCAGAATCTGCATTTTAAAAAGATCTCCAAGTAATTCATATGCACGTTAAATTTTGAGAAACACTGCTCCAGGTTACAAAGAAATAAGTCCTTCTGCCTTTACACCCATATGCAGCTGGGTTTTGCAGCTCTCCAGGTGAAACCAAGTGTTTTTTCCACTCCCTTTACTATCTATTACTTCCATCATGCCCTTTGCACATTTTTCTGTGTCTCCAGAAGTAAAAGATGTGTGGGAAATTAGATAATCAAATCCTGTAAGTTAAATTCAACTATTTCCATACAGAAACTTTCTCACACAGAAGGAATTTATCAGCTCTGATATTTAAGCTCCAGGGCTTCGGAAACTTCTGATGTTCTTTAATGTGCAGATTATTAAAAATCTCATTGTCTGCTGATGACATTTATGGGTATGACCATAATGTAACCAATTTTATTAATATGCCAGAATTTATATAACCATCTGACTTTTGCCCACTTCAAAGAAGTCACCCTGGAAGAGAGAATATATGCAATTTCCTTCATATAAAAACTATCACTTTTCTTTCAGAACTATTAGTGGTCAAGATAAAATACATGAAATTCCTTCTCCGTCTTATTACTGTCTAGCCATATCTGAAGTCTAAACAAAAAGAATTCCTAATTTAATCCCTTCCTCACTTAACATCTGTAGTTCAGAACTATCTGGTAACTAGCTACTTGAGTATTTCCACAAATTGAGTACCTACACCAAAGTCTGCAAAGACCGCCCTAGTGGACATCGCTAGGTACTCAAAGCCACTTTTAAAGTTACAGAAAATGGGGTACCTGGGTTACTTAGTTAAGTGGCCAACTCTGGATTTCAGCTCAGGTCATCAGATGAAGCCCTACATCATGGCTCCATGCTGGGTATGAAGACTGCTTAAGATTCTCTCTCCCACTCCCTCTGCATCCCACCCCCTGCCCAGCTAAAGTGCATGCCCCTTCTCTGTCAGAAAAAAGTGACAGAAAAGATAAAGGATTTGACATAAGCATCATCTCCTTTGAAGAGAATATTCACTTAGATATAGAATCTGGCATCTCTCCTATTTTTAAAAAAGTTATAGCATTTCCTAGTTGGCATATACTTTAATTTTTTCATTCATAATACTTAAATTAAGGAAATGACAAGACAGAGAAGCAAATTTCACTTTAAAAAAAGTTAAAACACACAACACTCTTCAAAAAATGTACTTTAATTCCAAGAGCTTAATCTAGAATGAACACTATCATTTTCTATTTCTATTTGTGAAGTAAAGCAGTGAAAGAAACAACTTGCCAAAATAAACAACATAGATTTTTACATTTCTTTTACAAATATCCAAGTTTCCTTATTTGCATTTATCCTATACATAATACCACCTTAGATTTAAGAGTCCTAACAGGATTAAAACATGTTTTTGCATAAAACATGTTTTATGCCTATGAAGAATAAACATCATGTCTGAACATATAATAGCCTCACATCGTAGGAACAAGTTTAATTACTGTGTCCTCCAGAGAAGGAAATTTTCATACACAATTGGTGATTTGATTCCATTAAAAAAATTTTTTTTTCAGCAAATGTGAAAAAAGAAAATCCTGCTGTTAATTCATGACATGAGGAAAAAAAAGAGGTAATTCATTCTTCCACAGAAAAAGTGGGTTTAGAAAACAGTTCTGACAGCATTTTACATGGTAAAGTATCAAGGCTAATAACCAACCCCTTGCTCAGGACAAAATGATTTCAACATGCTCCTCTTCTGAATTGCTCAGTAATCCCAAGTGATTTTTAAATTGGGAGGCAGGTTACCGGCAATAAGTTCATCAAATTTAGATCTATCATGAATAGGCACATTATAGAAATCAAGAACATCTCTGACCCTACACATCTGGTGAAGCCTGGAGTTGGGCACTGCATGGCCCAGGTCATCAGCTAAACGTGCCAACAAACCGAATTTCAGATGACCATCTTCCAGGGACACGTCCTGCCAATTACTAGGTACAGATGAGCCAAAAATTTCTTTGACACAAGATCCCACACGACTCTGGAGATCTTCAGGTGGTATGTATGTTTGGCTTCGTAAGGGTGGACACACCAAAATAGGTTCTTTCTTCACCTCTTCCACTGTCTCAGCCACCACTGGCTTTGTTTCTTTTCTGGAATGATCAAAAGCAAATATGTGAATCTTTGGTTAGCTGCACTAATGTAGCTGACAAGCTGATGAACACCAGACCCAATCTTATTTATCTATCTAAATCAATAAATAATATGCACACTTACTACTCTCCCAGGCCCTGTGGAGAGAATAAGATAGGTAGGTACCTGCCTTCGGAAGCTTATAACTGAATTGGTCTGGTACACCCAGAAAAAAAATTACAGATTTTATATGCTCTAAAAATTCCAAGAACAGGTAAAGAGATATATCATTTGCCTGGGATTCCCAGTTTCTAAACCCAATCTACCTCTCTAACCTCATCTCCTAATCTCCTATATACACTCTATGCCCTACCCAAACTAAACTACTACATTCTGTCTTCCTCTTTCCTGGTGTCATGTGTTACCTCAAGTTATATCCTATTGGAAATGCCTATCTTTCATCTTCACCTATAGAATCTTACTTTAAGTCCTAGAACAGAACTGTTCTCTTCCAAGAAGCTTTACTTGATTTGCCCAAATACAACTGCAAATTCCTCTGTTCTACTGTAGCACATTATATTGCATCCTACCTGAGTTTTAATTTTTTTACATTCTATTTCTCTTACCAGATCAGGGTTTCTGAACTCAAACACTGACATTTTGGAACAGATAATTCTTTGTTGTAGGGGGCTATCATGTTCATTGTCAGAGTCCAGCAGCATCCCTGGCCTCTGTCCAGGGTAGGGTAAATGCCATAGCATTCCTGTCCTCTAGTCATAACCAAATGACACTGCCAAATGTCCAGATGGGTAAATTATCCCTGGTTAAAAACCACTGTACCAAATTATAAACTCCTGTTTTATTTATCACGAAGACCTGTTTTACTGATCTGCAGTCCTTTGAAAACTACTTGAATAACTGTTACTGAGTACGTGAGCCAATGTCAGGAAATCTGCCTGATACACTACTTCAGTGCTTAATGAAATATTAGCTCATGATCTGACTCTTGTTTTCCATGGAGTTGGTAACAGACTGGGATGGGTCATCCTTACAGAAATGGGAGGCGGCAGAAAAAAAGATGTCTGGGGGGAAAAAAAGAGAGAAGAAAGAAAGAAAGAGAGAGAGAGGAAGGTAAAGAGGGAAGGAAGGAAGGAAGGATAGATGGATGGATTGGATGGATGGATATCTGGCCAAGAATATGGATCGTTGCACTATTTTCCTTCGCCTACTTAAAGATTCTTCAGGCAATTTAGCCCTCATTCTGCATCAACTCTTTATCATTTTCTCTCTACCTGCTAGAGTGTTCCCAGGGCACACAATAAGCTGTTAAAAATCTCCCATCCTCAAAGAAAAACAAAAATACCCCTTAGACTCTATGTTCTTACCAGTCTCCCAGAGTTGTCTACACTTTCAGTGTCTACTTCATCACCTCCTATTTTCTCCCCAAACTACTCTAGTAGTACCATCAGAATGAAATATAATCCATTCCTCCCATCTCAGTTATCTAGTACACTGCTCTAGTTTTCTCCATAATTTACCACTTTCTAAAATTATATCCCACGTTTGTGTTTTTGCCTCCATCAGAATATATGCTCTATGAAGACAAATATTTAGTCAGACTTACTAACAACTGTATCCCTAACACAGAAACATCTGACACAGAGTAGACACTCTATAAATTTGTGACGAATGAGTGACTGAAACAAACCTGAAGGAGATTTGAGATAATACTACTCACCAAAAAAGAGGGGAAGCTAATAAATCCATGAACAGATGACAAAAAAATCCTTCCGGATGGAAAGAGTTTTTGCTTGAACCCTGAGGGCATAAATTGTTCCCTGAAGTTCCCACAAGTTTTGAGGTCCTAACACTGTGAGTCAAACAGATTTACCTTCAAAATATTCCACAGGGTGCTGTGGGAGAAGCCGTAGACGGGGAATCAAAGACCTGGGTTCTGGTCCCAGCTCTGCCATTAACCTGCTTTTGGCAAAATACTTCCTCTCCATGGAGCCTCAGTTTCCTCATATGTTGGAACTCTGAGAAGGGGCGTTGTTTCGCTACTGTAAACTACTTAGGGAAATGCTGACCCAGACCTGACGTTTAGTAACTGTCTGTTGAGTGAATCAATGAATACACAAACGAACAAAAAGAGGAGGCCACACTCCCTTTCTGAATCTGGCGCGTGAAGAAAGACACCGCGCAAATGAACTTCGTTTACCGAGCGCTTTCACGTTCATGTTCTATATTGCTCGTTCCAAACGAACCATTTGTTTCCGCACGCGGTGCCTGGAACAAGTGGTCCGTACTGTTTGCTTAATAAATTAATGAGCGAAGTGGGAGGGAAAGAGAGCGGTATCTCCATGATCAGATGACAAAACAGGCAACACTGGGCCCCACCATTCCAGGAGACCCGCGCTTACGCTTCTGGACTCCTAACCCTAACCTAAGCGGAGGACTAGGGTCCCGTCTCAAGGGCATGGCACTCGCCTTCGAATTCGTGCTTTTATCCTCCTCAGTTTCTCTCCTTACTTTCCCTGAACGAGACCCACCATCCAACCGTCCGCTTTACCTGAGTCGAGACCAAAATTCTCTGCGTGGTGCCCCTAAGACGATCCACGTGAGGCCTCTTCTGGTAACGCCGGACGCTAACAGTGCGGCCATCTCGGAAAAAAGCGGCTTGCTAGCGCTCTGCCCTCAGGGGGCAGTGACGGGCCAAGACCAGCCAGTCACATGTAAGCTTAGTGGTAGATGTTCCCTTTCTCCTGTTAAGTGCCACTAGCTTCTCCCTCCCCCTTCGCACGCCGGGAAATGTAGTCCGGTGGCCATTGCCGGCAGAGGCTGGACCGAGGCGTTCTCTCAGAGCATGACGGGAGTTGTAGTTGGGGGGCGTCCCGGAAGGTTCCGGGTGACGCCTTCTGGTCCGGGGGCGGGCGGTCATAGCGCTCCTTGGCTGAAAGGAGGAGGAACTGGCAACTGGGAGGAGGCTCTAGCGAGGCCTGGAAGTCTGCGCAGCTAGGCGGGGAGGGAATTTGGGGTTGGGGGACGGCCAAGGAGCGCGTCTGATATGCCGCTGGGGTCGTGACCGCTCGGGGACCAAGGCAGGACCTGGCCATACTCAGCCTGGAGGCCTCGCCTTCGTTGGGCCTAATTTCTAAAGGCTGGGTAGGCCTTAACGAGAGGCTTCTTTCCGTGCGACCGCCGCGGATTCCTGCCCTGATTTTCTGTCCAGGAGATGGCCTCCCCGAGCCCCCCGCCGGAGCCAAAGGTAAGTCCCCCTCTGGGTATCACCGAGAGAACCGGAGCTAGGCCGAGCCTCCGCACCCCCCTGCCCAACCTCCCTGACCGTGGTCTTTAGGGCCAGCGATGTGTGCAGGGAAGTACCCCGTAGTGCTCCCACTTGGCCCTTTTTTTTTTTTTTAAAGAGCGACTTGGTAAATCAGGTGAAGAAAATTAGTAATGTTCCAAACATGCGCCCTCATTTATGAGTTCTTCCAAATGAGGCACCATTTTTAAACCTCCCCCGTGTTTTATGCGCCTGTCACGATGCTTGGACCCAAGGTAGACGCTTAGAGAAGTTCATGGAATTGAACAGGGTCCCAAGCCAGTGGGGTGGAGTTGGAGCTGGGCAATTAGTGCAGGAAACTTGGGGAGTTTGGGGGCAGCTTACTAGAATAAATGTTAGTGTATAATTATTAAACCAGAAAAGCTCTATCTTTAGGACCAGCACTACTGACGACAAGGATCCAGTTCAGTTATCATCTAGTTTGAGGTGCTTTTCTGTTACAAAATTGGGCCCCATTTGGAACTCTTGGTTATCATGTTCCTCCTAGCCTTCCCGGCCCTGATAAGTGATTTCTTCTACTTTCAGTGGTAGAATTGTCCTTGAGACAACAAGAACTGACCACAGAAATCGTACTATTTCAGGGCTTGCTGACATTTGAGGATGTGGCTGTGTTTTTTACCCAGGAGGAGTGGGATTATCTGGATCCAGCACAGAGAAGCCTGTATAAAGATGTCATGATGGAGAATTATGGAAACCTGGTCTCACTGGGTAAGAATCTTTTCTTTCTCTGGTTAAAATATCTGAGAGGCTATAAGAAATCAGACTCTGAGAACACTTGGACCACTACCAGTACCAAAACTGCTTTGTTCCAAAGTTCTGATTCAAACCTTTCAGCCATTAATTGTTTCCATGCCTGTCATCCCTAGCATCCTTGCAATAACCAAAATACATGCCTTTCTGGCTTCTTATCTTCATAATCTCATTCCCATATTGCTCTGTACTTTCCCTCCTGGCTCATCCTCCCACTGATTTCCTCCCACCCCTTTTCACTCTGCCTTCTGGAGCCCCTGTTCTTCTTCACATAATGTTCCTTACCCCTCCTGGCCTTAACTGAAAACTGGCACTTTCCCAAGGACACCACTTCCCTGGCAGAGGCTGCTTATTTTCCTGCATCCTCTTTTTTCCCCCTATCCGTTGTCTCAAGGCTAGAAGGGAGAAGTTATGTTCTTCTACCTTTTCAGGGCTGTTCCCGAAGCATTGGTTTAACCCTTCAAGCAAAATTTCTCTCCTTGCCTCAGCAGTCTTGCTCTACCCACTCAATTCCTTTTCACTGTCATCTGTCGACATGTCTTGGTCCCTCACACATAGATTTTGCACATTTCAGAATCTTCTGTATGCTCACCTATGCAATCAGTGATGTAGTCATCACTTAACCCTCACTATATTCCCTGACCTTATTCGCTTCAGGAACCTGGCTTTCCTTTTTTGTTCAGTTCACATAAGTGATCAAACCCTCAATTTTGTCAAAGCCGGCAAATCTTAAACCCTGATATCTTACTCTTTCAAAAATTTTGCAGACATTATTATTATTTTAGATTAACTAAACAGGGGTGACCAAAACAGACATCATCTCTGCCCATGTGGAGCTTACTCTAACTTCTTACCTTTCTACCTCTCCTACTCCTTTCCTCCTACACCTGGTTATTCTTAATCATGTTTCCTGTTCTTGACTTCTCCCTTTCTCCCCGCCAGACTATCAGTCCTGTCCTAACTTCATCTCCTCATCTAATCCATGGACCTACATTTGAATTAACCGCCAGCAAGCTCTCTCGCCACCTTGTCATTGTCCTCTTTGCATTCTGCAAACTTCAGATTCTGTGTTGGTTATAAAATCTGCCTGTTCTCCTACCAGAGTTGCTAAATACAGCAAGAGAAATTCTTTAACTGAAAGGACTGATGCCCTGTGTATATGTATGCATGGCTTTTCTTCTAGTCTGCCGTGGGTTTTTACATCTCAGCCAGTTTTTTATCATTGATTTGCTCTTTCCCTTCTTCTTTTTAATGACTATTCCAAAAACTAAAGAAGTTTTCCTTGGGTCCATCACTCAGTAGTGGACTTCACTTTCTATGGCAAAGAGAAGATAGAGGCTACTAAACGTGAACTCCCACCTTCTCTGCCCTTCATGTGCATGCTTAAGAGTACTCCTCTTTCCTCGCTTCTCCAAGAATCTATCCATCTGTCATCTTTTTTTTTTCCCCCTTTACAACTTTAGTCTCTATTCCTACTCCACTGGTAACTTTATTTTGATAATAGGTATATTTATAACTCTTCCAGTTGGGGAAGGAGGGGAGGGGGTGGTGATCCTTTGAGCCACAGTCTCCTTGCTGCTCCTTGTCACCTCCTCATTCACTTCATAGCCAAGTTTTTGTAAAAGTAGTTAATGTGTGTTTTGTACTTTACCTTCTATTATCTCTAAGCCCCTTTTCTCGCCTCTGCCATTCCCCTTGAATTGTTTAACATTGGTCTGTAATAACCCAGTTGCCAAATGCAATAGACTCTTTTTTGGACACTATTTTATTTCACCTCTCTACAGATATTTGAAACTGTTGCTTCCTTCTGTTGCCTTGCATTCTCACACTTCCTCTCAATTTATATGCCTTCTTTGGCAAAGCTTATCTGTACTCAGATCATCACCTACTTCTATGTGATAAGTCCCAAATCTTACTTTCACCTAAGAGAAGCAGCTGGAGCTTACCTGCCTAAGTAAAAATCCTGGTTCAGCCACTTACAAGCCTTGTGACCATGGGTGAATTACATAATCTTTCCATGCCTGTTTCTTTTTTACAAAATGGCAATAATAATAGTACTTACCTCTTTGGGTTACTATGAGCATTAACAGAGTTAATATATGTAATGTACTTAGGACCTTGAGTAGCATGTAGTAAGTATAATATAAATGTTGACAGCTGTCACTGTACTCTTTAGCCTCTCTAAGAGCGCTAAAATCTTTGTCATCTTCTTTTGAAGACCATGTAAATGACTCACACCTGGCAAATCTCAACTAACCCATTCAGATCTCAAGGCCCTTCTCTTTGGAATTAAGTACTCCTTTTTCTGTGCTGCTGTATACACTTCTGTTGAATTTATCACACTGTACTCTAATCATTCTTTATGTTATTTTTCTAACCAGACTGGTTTCCATGAGGACAGTAACTATATTTTTTTCATTTGATTTCTCCAGCACTTAGTGCAGAACCATATATAGAGTCTACTTAACATGACTCTATTATATGCTCAGCACAGAAGCATATATATTATATGCTTCTAATTATTTGTGTAATAGAATGAATGAATATACTCAAGATTCAGTATCTCTTGACCAGTTACTGCATTAGTCCATAAACTAGCCTCTTGCCTCCAATTTCCCTTTCTTTTAGTATATTCTATTTACTGCCACCAAAGTGATTTTGTTAGTTAACTGCTTATAATTTACAATTCCTGGTAGCCTAAAGGATAAAAATCTTAATTTCTTGTACCTGCTAGGACCTCTCTAAATAGCCCTGCTTGGGTTTCTAGCGTCATATATTATTTTTGCACACCACTTCAATCTCCAGTCATATCAGCTGCTGATTTTTTCCCCCAATATGCCACGGTGTCTCTGAGTCATTGCCAGTTTTATCCACACATATGGTATCCTGGCTGATAGAACCAGACATATGCCCAGCCTTGCCTGCCCCTACTACTGTTAGATGTGAGTACCATATGGACGAAGGCATGGCAGTGAGCCCATCTGTGATCTCCTACTTTCAGGCTCCCATTTTAGCTGAACTACAGCTTTTTATTGGTTATTATTTCTCCCTCTGCAATCTTTTCATCTATAGATTCTGTCACCATTCCTTTGATAAGAGTTCCCTTAGTGAAAGATCACGATTACTTGATTTTTTCTAACGTAGTGTTTTACTGCACATCATCTTGCTTCTTTAGTTAGTACAGCTCTCTTCCAAATTTAATTTTGGTCCTTTATTCGTACCTTTCCTTTCTATGATGATTTTTCTTTAAACACTTCAGTAACTATGTTAATAATACAACTGACAGCTTGATCTCAGTTCTCAGTCTTCCAGTTCTTTCTTTCTTTTTTTATATTTTATTTATTTATTTGACAGAGGCAGTGAGATCACAAGTAGGCAGAGAGGCAGGCAGAGAGAGAGGAGGAAGCAGGTTCCCTGCTGAGCAGAGAGCCTGATGTGGGGCTCAATCCCAGGATCCTTAGATCATAACCTGAGCCGAAGACAGAGGCTTAACCCACTGAGCCACCCAGGCACCCCAAGTCTTCCAGTTCTTTCAACTGAAATGTATGTCTTCAGTTTTAATGACTTCTTTCTAGTCTGCTTGAGCCATATTGGATCTTGACAGAATTGGGAATTGCTGTTCCTGTAAG